AGCACCCTCAGCGACAGCACCAGCGCCACCAACACCTCCAGCGGCAGGACCTCCAGCAGCACCAGCAGCAGAACCACCGCCAGGACAGACAGCAGTAGTCTCAGCACCAACACCCTCAGCAGCTCCAGCTCCAGTAGGACCCGCAGGCCCAGCAGCTCCGGAACCGGCAGCACCAGCACCCTCGACGGTCGACGAAGCTCCAGCTCCAGCAGCACTCCTCCAACGGCGAGCAAACCACTCGCGCAGCTCCTGCGGAGAGAGGGGCTCCCGGCGAGACGCAGCAGCAGGAGAAACCCCAGGCTCAGCAGCTCTAGACTCAGCACCCCCAGGCACAGCAGCTCCAGACGTCGCACCCCCAGGCTCAGCAGCTCCAGACTCAGCACCTCCAGGCTCAGCAGCTCCAGAATCAGCACCCCCAGACTCAGTAGCTCCAGCTCCAGTAGGACTCGCAGGCCCAGCAGCTCCGGGACCGGCAGCACCCTCAGCAAGCAAAGAAGCTCCAGCTCCAGCAGCACGCCTCCAGCGGCGAGCAAACCACTCGCGCAGCTCCTGTGGAGAGAGCGGCTCCCGCCCAGCAGTCGCAGGCTCCGCACCTCCAGGCTCAGCACCCCCAGGCTCAGCAGCTCCTGACGTAGCACCCCCCGGCTCAGCACCCCCAGCAGCAGCACCCCCAAGCTCAGCACCCCCCGGCCTCGCACCCCCAGGCTCAGCACCCCCAGCAGCAGCACCCCCAAGCTCAGCACCCGCAGGCGTAGCACCCCCAGACTCTGCACCCGCAGCAGGACCAGACTCAGCAGCAACCTCGACTGGCTCGACTGTGTCTACCTGGGACACACCTGAAGGGGCAGGAACCTGAGGGGGGAGGGGGTCTACCGGGGGGGGAACTGGCACCAGGAAGTCCGGTGGGGGGGGGAGGGAAGGAGTACGGTAGGGGAAGAGGTGGTAGAAGGGGACTGACTCGTCGAACGTGACGTCCTGGGAGGACAGAACACGACGAGAGGAGGGGTGGTAGAACTGCCACCCTGGAGCGTCAAGGGGGAAGCCAAGGAAGACACAGGGAGCAGCACGGGGGGACAGCTTGTCCGCAGACAAGTCGCGGACAAACGCCCGAGATCCCCAGACACGGAACGCAGACGCATCGCCGACCTTCCCCGTCCACAGTAACACTGGGGACATATCGGGCCGAGAGACCCTGGGGTGAAGGTTGATCTGATGCGCCGCGTACCGAACCGCAAACGGCCACAGAAAATGGGGGGCAGCCGCATGCATCATGGACGTACGAGCGACATCCATGACCATGCCAATGCGGCGCTCAGCAATTCCATTTTGCTGTGGAGAGTCCGGAAGCGTAAAGGTCTGGCGGATCCCCTGTGCACGACAGTAGTCTCGCAGAAGGCGAGAGGAGAACTCCCCACCTCGGTCAGAGTGCAGACGCAGAACAGGAAAGTCCGAGCCGAAGCTCCTCCTGAGCTGGAGACGAGCCTCGCGGATCCAGTCGATCAGCACCTCAGTGACAGCACCCTTGCTGCGCAAGGGGAAGACTGAGGTGTAACGCGAGTAGTCGTCAACCACCAACAGGAAGTAGCGCTCGTGACCCTGCCCACGGACGGGGGCCGGGCCCCACACGTCCATGTGAAGCGTCTGCAGAGGAGCCTCTGTCGGGGGAAACTGGGAGGAGTGAGGAGCAGCCCTGAGGCGCCCCTCGACACAGGGGACACAGGAAGGTCCTGGTCCCGAAGGAAGGGGAGGGAGAGACTGGGGAAGACCAGAGACAAGGACACGGGAAGCCATGCCCCGAAGACGGGGCAAGGAGGGGTGGCCTAGACGGTGGTGCCACAGAAGAGTCTCGTGAGACAGGAGGCGACACGAACAGGGGGCAGACTCAGGACCAGACCTGGACGCAGCAGCAAACACCTGACCCGACGCTGCTACCTGACCGGACGCGGGGACAGGAGGAGACTCAGTGGTCAGGGTGTAGAGGCTCGACCCCGGCCGACGCGAGAACGTGGCCAGGTGCCGGCCTGTGCGTGCGTCCGTGCAGTGGGTCACCCGCTGACTCGCAGGAGTGAACTGGTGAACCCCCGCATCCTGTAGGTCTGCACCACTCACCAAGTTCGTCGAGAACGAGGGGAGGTACAGGCCAGACAGGGTGCCCGAGGGGGCAGCCGGACACGGGAGGACAGTGGAGAAGTGAGCGAGGACAGGACCCCCAGAGGGGTCAGCCAGGGAGACAGCAACCGGCCGACCAAGCGGCGTGAGTGTGGTGCGGTCCCGAAAGAAGGAGCGAGAAGCCCCAGAGTCAAGTGTAAAGGTGAGGGAGGCCGAAGCCAACGCGGTACCTGAGAGCGCAGCCTCACCCGCACCTGAGGAAGCAGACTCACTAGCACCTAGAGCAGCAGCCGCACCTGTACCTGGAGCAGGAGACTCACTAGCACCCAGAGCAGCAGCCTCACCAGTAGCTAGAGCAGCAGGTCCTATACCTGGGTCAGGCGGGACGCACAGGTGACCGGCATGGTCAGCACTAGTAGGCAATGCATACATGGCAGTGAGAATAGCATCATAGTCAAGAGCATATATATCTACCCTCTGCCTAAGCAACTCCACCCAGTCGGGAAGCTCAGCCTCGTCGCCAAACACGGTACGCCAGGCGTCGCTCAGACGGGCGAAGCAGCGGGACTGTGTATGACTACGTCTCCCACAAGGCTGACCAGTCCGAGTACCAGTGCGAATCACGTAAGAGCAGCGAACAGCACTGAGAGACCCTCCACTCTGAGCGTACCACTCACGAAGCTGGCGAGGCGTGAGAGACACGCGAGAGGGTCGCGGGAGCTGCATCTGGCCGCCACCACGAGTAGAAGCAGCAGGAGTGGAAGTAGGAGTAGCATCGCCACCCCTACAGCCCCAACCAGCGTACCACTCACGCAGCTGCTGGGGCGTGAGGGACTCACGCAGGCGTCGCTGGGGCTGCATCTGGCTCCGCAAGTAGAAGCAGGAGCAGGACTAGCAGCAGGAAGGCAGGCAGCCAGGCAAGCCAAAAGGCAGGCAGGCAGGCAAGCAGGCGACGCGCAGCGTGCTAGCAGGGCAAGAGCTCACCAGTGGTGGGAAGAGTAGGCTCGGCGACTCAGCGGCTCGGCAGCTCGGCGGCTCGGCGGCTCGGGCGACTCGGGCGGCTCGGCGGCAAGGCGGCTCGGCAGCAACTGCAGCTCAGCAGCTCGGTGACTCGGCGGCTCGGCGGCAGGGCGGCTCGGCAGCAACTGCAGCTCAGCAGCTCAGCGACCCGGTGGCTCGGCGGCAGGGCGGTTCGGCTGCTGGGCGGCTCGGGTGCAGGGCGGCTCTGCAGTGGGGCGGCTCGGCTGCTGCAGGTGAGCGATGAAGGAGGAGGAGAAGCAGGGGAGGCCACACACCTGCCACCCCTCTGCTGGCCTCTCAGGTCGCCTCGACAGGCGACGGGAAAAGGGGGGGTGGGTGGTGGGGGCCGGTAGGTGCAGCGGCGGGGCTAGCAGGTGCAGTTGCGGGGCCGGTAGAAGGGGACGGCAGCCTGGGCGGTCGTGGGCGGCTCACGCTGGGCGGGTGCACGGGCGGCTCGGCGGGCGGCGTACAGGCAGCTCACGGGCGGCTGCGACGGGCGGCTCGCGGGCGTCGGGCGCTAGGGCGCTGGGGCGACGACGCGCGGCGCTCAGGCGTCAGGGCGGGCGGTCGTCAGAGCGCTAGAGCGGGCGGCGCTCAGGCGTCAGGGCGGGCGGCCGTCAGGGCGCTAGGGCGGGCGGCGCTCAGGCGTCAGGGCGGGCGGCCGTCAGGGCGCAAGGGCGGGCGGCGCTCGGGCGCTAGGGCGAGCGGCGCACGGGCGCTAGGGCGGGCGGCCGTCAGGGCGCTAGGGCGGGCTGCGCTCGGGCGCTAGGGCGGGCGGCGCTCGGGTGCTAGGGCGGGCGGCCGACAGGGCGCTAGGGCGGGCGGCCGTCAGGGCGCTAGGGCGAGCGGCGCACGGGCGCTAGGGCGGGCGGCCGTCAGGGCGCTAGGGCGGGCGGCGCTCGGGCGCTAGGGCGGGCGGCCGTCAGGGCGCTAGGGCGGGCGGCGCTCGGGCGCTAGGGCGGGCGGCGCTCGGGCGCTAGGGCGGGCGGCCGTCAGGGCGCTAGGGCGGGCGGCCGTCAGGGCGCTAGGGCGGGCTGCGCTCGGGCGCTAGGGCGGGCGGCGCTCGGGTGCTAGGGCGGGCGGCCGACAGGGCGCTAGGGCGGGCGGCCGTCAGGGCGCTAGGGCGAGCGGCGCACAGGCGCTAGGGCGGGCGGCCGTCAGGGCGCTAGGGCGGGCGGCGCTCGGGCGCTAGGGCGGGCGGCGCTCGGGCGCTAGGGCGGGCGGCCGTCAGAGCACTAGGGCAGATCGAAAAAAAAAAGAAGTACTAGGGCCCGGAGCGCGCTCCGGGCAGGAAAAAAATGTTAAGAGGTAGCGGTGGTGGGCCCTACGAACAGTTCCCACAGGGGAACCTGCTCGATACCATGTGAGAATAAGCGAACAGGAATGGAAGAACTAGCAGTGAAAAATGAGTACAAGTAGGAAACCCTAGAATTGTGTACCCCCTATAGGCTAACCCACTGTAGCCTACACAAGCAGAACATATATAATGTTTGACAGCAACTTGGATTTCCAGTGAAGAACGAGCATTGACTGCACCGTCGACACACACTGTACACGTCCAGAAGGCACGTCCTCCACACACATTCGAAAGTCCAGCTTCGCGATGTGAATCAGATTTACAACCTGCCCACTTGTCCTTTCTTGATCATTGCAGTTGGACAAGCTCAGGGAGTGTTCCAAAATCCACTTCCTTTACAAAAACTGGAGTTCTGGATCTCATTCAATCGGATGAAGGCGACTGTCCAGACTCGTCTACATGCCTCAAACTCGTTACCGTGTTATTAAAACGAAGAAACGTTACGTTCATCCTTGCTGCACACAATACGCATCCTAAGAGTCCCGAAGACCAGCTGTCAAGCATTTGAGTGGGGATGTGTCATTTTCTACTGTCACCTGTGGTGGACTCTAGTGCGCCAGATCAAGGCTGTTTGTCCTCTGGTTCTGCGCCCAGTCGCGTCGCAAAAGCAACGTTCCCCCAGTTCTCCCTACCTGATCAATCACCCACAAGCCAGCTTGCTTTTTCGTGCCGCTGACATACAGTACACCACGCAACCTCCAACCACCGCGTGTATTGGCCACATCTCCCTCCAGGCTCCATCTTACCCCCCAAACCAATCTGCTCTTCCTCGGTCACCACCGCACAACGATATTTTGATCCCACATTTTCCCCTCCTCCCTTTTCCATTCCGCCGACTCCCCGCGACCCGGTCAAGCGCAGCCGCCGCAGCCCAACATTGAAGCGCGGGGAACGCGAGCTGCGATTGAAGACCAGGTAACCGGGTTTTCGTCTTGTCGCCCTTCCCACCGTTCAGAGGAGAAGAAAGAACCAGGTGAGCCGTGAAGCAAGCCATGTTCCTGCTTCTTGGTTTTATTGCCACGCCACCGCAGTCAGTATTCCCAGTTCCACAATCCATCACAGCACAGCACGAGGCCTGACTTGCCAAAAGGATTCACGGTTTGCAACGAATATTTTAATATCGCAGGGGTCTCAGTAGCCGACCGACACGCACACCAAACTAGACTTGTGTTCATTCCAAGATTACACGTACGGTAGCGTCTGAATACCAAAAGGAGAACAAACTAGAGCTTAAACATGGACTCACGGCTAAGACACTCTGGCTCGCTCAGACCGAGTCTCCTTCCCGGGCCTCCATTCCCGCTCGTCCATTCCCAAAGACAACGTCTTCTATCGCATCACTCACACTGCCACTCACACTGCGACCTTGTAGTACAGACCCGCGGGGAAAAACGAAGCCAGTTATTACTTCTCGTGCTCCTCGTCTCGCTATCCGCATCGCCGCTGCTCCGCCCGATCCATGGTACGAGCACAGCCGCACGCGTTACCGACGTTCATATTAGCTTCGAAGCTGCTACGACGTTTAAGATATGACTGTGAAGCTCACTTCTGCTGTTTCCGTGTAAGCTTGTACCCCGAGTACCTTTGAAGCGAGGCATTCAGGCGCATTCAGGATTATTGCAAGCTAGGCGCACGCAGTGAGGCGACGAACTGGCGTGTTTAGTACCGCCGCTCATATTATCTCCGCCGTTTCCCCAACCCCCGCAGCTTCCCCCCCCGACGTCTCGTCGCTCTACATCGTCCGCCTACGTTCCGCGCCGCCTGTCGCCTCGTACCGCGGCGGATTTCCCGGGTTCCCAGCAACAGCCGTCTGGGACAGCGACCCTAACGGCTGCGCGACAGACGCAGCGTCAGACGGCGCCGCCAACGGTTCCGTTGCCGTTGGTGCCGCTTCTGTTTCCTCCTCCGCCGCTGGTGCGGCTACTACCAGCGGTTTAGGATGGCTTGGCCGTCGACCGCGGCGGCCGCGGGTGAACGTGAGGGCGCCGGGCGTGAGGGCGTTCAAGCAGCTGCTGCAGCGCATGCAGCAGGCCGTGCTGAGAGACAGCGGGGTGGCCGCGGGGAAGATGCTCTACAGGTAAGGGAAAGATGGTGCCTAGGTGAGGGGAGAAGAGAGGAACAAGAGGGACGTCTTACCGACGAGAGTGGTAGCCGTTGCCCTTGCTCTTTGCTGCTGCCGCTACGGCGCATGCAGCAGGCTTTGGGCGTTTCAAAAGCAGGCGGTGAAGCGAGACAGCGGGTGGACACCAGGAAGGTGTTGCAAAATTTGAGCCCCGTCTATTCCTGCTATCCGCGCGAGACACCCGCGCGGGTGGACATCGAGGCGTTCTAAGCGCGGATGTGCTGCAGACCATATTGCTGTAGATCCGGGGAAGAACCGCACCGCGGCAGCCCTCTGTGTCTCCCGCGCGTGCGTCGTGCGAGATGCTCAGGCTACCCGTCGCCATGTCGACTCCCCTTCTCCTGCCTCTGGCTCCATTATCACAAGCACCATCTCCCCCCCATCCGCCGCGGCCAGTTACAAGCCGCCTTCTCTTCGACCCTCAACCCCCTCGTCGTTTCCATCCGTCGTCCCCCCCTGTGCCCGCCAACCCTTCCCACTCGCACGTGTCGACAACGTCTCCGCGACGCTCACGCCAGCGCAGCGCATGACAACGTCACCCGTCCGTGGCGTCCGTGACGCAGGCACGCCGCGTGCTGCGCGCCGCCACCACCGACTCATACAAGTTCCTCATCTCCCCATCACGCTCCCATCCCACCTTCCCCACTTTCCCCTCTCCCCACTTTCCCCTCTCCCCACTTTCCCCTCTCCGCCCTTCTCAGCTACATGCACGCGTCCAACGGCTTCTCCGCGACGCTCACGCCAGCGCAGGTGCAGCGCATGAGGCGGCATCCATCTGTCGCCTCCGTGACGCAGGCGCGCGTGGTACGCCCTGCGACCACCCACTCGTACAAGTTCCTCGGCCTGCCCGGGTCGCTCTGGGCCGACGCGGGCGGACCCAGCAGCGCGGGGGACGGCACGGTGATCGGCATCGTGGACACCGGCATATGGCCCGAGCACGCTTCCTTTGACGACACGGTAGGTTGTGCATCACCTTGGCCTCAGTAGGGTCAACACGTTTGTCAATAGCGACAGCACGGTGATTAGCATTGGACACGGGCATATGGCCCGAGCACGCTTCCTTTGACGACACGGTACGCGCCTCGCTTTGCCATCACCATCCGCGCTTCTCCCTTCTCGTTCCCTCCACCTGTCGCCCCTTTAGACATTAGTTTTCGCATTCCCGTCCCTTCTCCCTTCCCCACCACCATCACCATGCCATCAGCCACTCTTCCCCATCCGCAACTCTGCTACCCCCTCCCTTCCCCTCACCTCATCCCCTTCCTCCCCTCCCCATCGTCCGCACCCTATCGTCTCCCCACGTTCTAGGAAGCAGGGCGACAGCAGCATGCCCAGCACCCCACTGACCCACCACTACCCATTCTCCCCTTTCGCCCCTCCACCCCTCCACCCCTGCACCCTCCTCGTCCCCACTAGGGCTACAGCAGCACGCTCCCTGCTGGATGGTCAGGCACGTGTCCCACGACAAGCGACTTCACATGCAACAAGAAGATCATCGGTGGGGGCGTGTTCCACGCGGGGTTTGAGAGCGGCGGCAACACCATCGACCTCTCGGCCGACTGGGACTCGCCGCGTGATTCGTTCGGGCACGGCACCTGGTGTGCGGGGTGAGTTCATGGTGAATGGGTGGGGTATATGTTGCATGGGGAATGGGACATGGTGCATGGGACAAGGTGCGTGGGGCATGCAGCATAGGGCATGGTGAACATTGCAGGTGGCACGATGTGTGGCGCTGCAGGTGGGATGATGTGTGGCGCTGCAGGTGGGATGATGTGTGGCGCTGCAGGTGGGATGATGTGTGGCGCTGCAGGTGGGTTTTAAGTTTTAAGTTTTAAGTTTTTATTATGGTCGTAACCGCATACAGTACAACACCACAAGCATGGCGAAAGCCAAGGCCTAGAAGACCTACGCTAGAACAGCATTACTTGTCTATCAGAGATAGAATGAAGGCCAAGGCCTTTATCGGATTGTACAGCTAAAGAGAGGCATTCTTCTAGGGGGGATGAAATGTTTCGTTCAGCAGCCAAGATTCCCGCAGAGCTGGATGAAGCTGCGGAGTCCCGTCTGGCGCGAAATTGAGGAGTCGAAGTGCTGCGGCGGCTTTGACACGGTTGGAAGTGGCGCGTTTCTTTTTGTCAGACCACTTAGAGCGGCGGATGAAGTAGATTTTGCACGCGGTCAGGAAAAGCGCTAAGATTCGGTGTAGCGTCTCGCTCCGGGAATACGTCGTTTGCTCATAGAAGGCAGCGCATCTGTCCCTCCAGAGAATCGTGGCTGCAGCGCCGATAAGTAGGCACCATGGAGCGATGAGACTGGATGTGTGTGGAAGTGGGAAAAAGACTGCTGCAGGTTCGACGGTGGAGCTCATGTGTCGAGATGCGACGTGTTGAATGGCCTCAACAACCGCAGGCGCTTGGCCACAATCGAAAAACATATGAGGAAGGTCCTCTATCAATGGAGGTCCACAGCGGGGGCAAGTGCCGCCAGTGGCTGTGAAGCGGTATCTGGAGCCAGAAGGCAGAGTGAGAGTGAACAAGCGGAAGAGGATGTCACGGTGTCGAGAGGGTTGATCTTTGAGGAAGGAATGATTATAGCCTGGGAGGAAGGAGATGGGATTCCGCACGATGACATTCCATCGTTCCAGGTGGTTGAGAGGCTGAGATTGATAAAGCAGGTTCCTGATATCCGCAAGTGAGGGAGAGCCGGCGAACAGCTCATGACGTGAGCCGAGGGCAGGGCCAGAGTCGAAGGGGCCTGCAAGCCATCGTCCTTTGACGTGGACGGGAATTACATCCTTGAACGCGACCGTGCAGACCCCGCCGCACTCCACAGCCACCTGTCTTCCTTGGAGCACCTGGAAAATGTTGACACGAGCTTTAAACCCGGGAAGGAGAGAGGATACGCGAAAAATGCGGGTGGGAATGAAAGTCTTGGCGAACTCCAGAGCCCAATCCCCGACCGCGAGATAATTCTTTCTTGGGGAAAATCTCCGAAGAGTATCCCACCAGCTGATAGGAATGGCGTCGAAGATGCTCAGAATGAGAGTGCGGCTGCCTGGGTAGATAGAGGGGGGGAATTTATCCAAGATCTCCTCTTCTTCCATTCGTCTTGCACCAAATCGTGTGGAGATAAGCAGGTTACCTAAGCGGACTTGATCAGAGAGCAGAAAAAGCTCGTTCTTGAGGCGGCCGAACGGTACATTCGGTTCCTTGTTGATGAATCGATTAAAGGCGATAGGTTCAGCCATGAGGCTCCAAGGGTCCAGCCGAGGCGGCTTCACGACTGAAGGAAGGGGAAGGGTGGCTTCCAGTTCTGCACGAAACCGACTTGGAACCTGCGGGGGGAGGAACTTGATGATGGAGGGGTGGGCAAAATAGCAGTGCAGCCCGAATGGAACTGGGACGCAAGAATGGGCGATGTCCTCATACGGAGTGGCTCGGAAGCGCCGCGCGGCACGTTGGATGCTTAAAGCGCGAATGTGTGCTGAAGGTTCAAGAGCCCCGACACCACCGTGCTTTTTCTTGTTGTACAAGATCCTTTTAGGGATTCGGCGTGTCGCCAGACCATGCTCTTTATACTGGGAGTTGGAAAGGAAGATGCCAACAACACGGTCAATCTTGGTGATGATAGGGGAGGGGGGAGGTTGGAATCTGGCGCCATAAGCGTAGAGGGAGGAAAGTCGTTCTGTGGAAAGCAATGAATGACAAGTGGTGGTGGCCTTGCACTGAGCCAGAAGTTTAGTGCAACCTCTGATACGGAGCGTGATGTTGTTCCAGGTGGTAGCCCCAGGCTGACATTGTTCCACATAGATGCCCAAGATCCTCTCAGGGTCGTTAGAGCCTCGGACTGGAATCTGACTGGTGTGGAGCAGCGGGGAGTTTTGCATGTTAACAGGAATGAGAGAACATTTTTCCCAATTCGGATGCTCCCCAGACATGGCTGCGAAGGTGCTGAGGGCTTGGGTGGTCACCTGAAGTTCGGTTTCAGAGTTGAGAAAAAGAGAAATGTCATCGGCATAGCAGGCTGTGAGACGTCGTTGTGATTGGTTGAATGCGTAGCCGGGGAGAAACTCTTGTAGGTATCTCTGCATCACCTCAACAACGCAGACAAAGAGAAGGGGGGCAAGAGGGCAACCCTGACGGACACCTGAGCGTACGGGAAAGAGGGGGCCAGAGAAATTGTTAACTGACACTCTAGTAGAGGTGTCTGAATGCAGCATGGACACCCAATGTATGAACCCAGACGGAATGCCCAGGTGCTGCAGGCACGCATACATGAAAGGCCTGTCCACCATGTCGTAAGCCTTCCGAATGTCGACGGTAAGGATTAGAAGTGGGTCTTTTTGTGAGGCAGCCCACTCCAAGAGGTCCAATGTATCATTTATAGTGTCGCCTATCCTCCGGCCTTTAATGAACGCCGCTTGCGCTGGATTGATGAGCTTTGGTAAGGCGGCCTGTAAGCGGTGCGCAAGTATGAGAGTGATAATTTTGTAATCCGCATTCATCAACGTAATCGGCCTGAGGTTCGCAACTACCTCAGAGCTCCCTCTCTTGGGGATGAGAACAGTCCTACCGGTTTTCATAGAGCCTGGAATCTGGCCCTGAGAGTTGATGTTACGGCAGAGGGAGAGGATAAGAGGGGAGAAAAGGTTCTTGTAGGAGCGAAACAGCTCACCAGGAAGCCCATCGGGACCGGGGGTTTTTCCTCTGGAGAGGCGACCCAGGGCGGACTCAATTTCGGCAAGGGAGAAAGGCTGATCCAGGCGACTGCTGCATGCGGGGGGCAGAGCAGACGGGCGGACATGGTTCCAAAAGGAGGGGTCACGTGAGATGGTAGCGCTTCCGTTGTATAGTGTGGAGAAAAACTCAGTGCAATGGGAGGACATGGCTTGGAGACTGGAAATTTTTTCACCAGAGGGGAGCTTGAGATGGGGAATGAGGGAGTCCTTGATTCTGTTTTGGAGACCCACAAGGAGGGAAGAGACGCCCATTTCCCTTGAGCCTTCTACCTTCAGCTTTGCCTTAAGCGCGATTTCCGCAGCCCGTGAGTGCTCGTAGGCTTCCAGGCTGGCAGAAAGGAGGGCTAACCGATTGGCACCCTGCAGGTCGGACAGGTTTTTTAGCAGAGACAGTTGTAAGTTGCACACCTCGTCACAGAGAAAGGAGGTGGTTTTCCTGACCCTGGTCTTCTCTTCCTTACAGTACCATTGGAGCTGTCGGCAGAGGCGAACCTTCCACCTATCCCAGTCGTCTATGGTGAAATCTGATTGGAGTTCCTGCGCGGAACATTCCAGCAGGGAGCGGACGAATGGCTTGGGAATTAACTGTTGCGGAAGCCGCCAGGGTCTGGGGGCCATGTTGGGGTTCCAAAACCGCAAAACAACAAGCGGCCCACGGTTGTGGTCAGAGAGGGTATGCGGGACAGAAACATAGGAGGCGTGATGGATACGTGTTGCCCAGTGATTTGACACATAAGCTCTGTCGATGCGAGAGGAGGAGAAGGCAGAATCCGGGCCGCTAATTCTCCTGAGGGACGAGAAGGAGAACATGGCCTTGGCAGGGGAAGTGTGGCGATAACAGTCAACGAGCGAGTGCTTCATGATAGTGTCTTTGATCATTAACGCCTCCGTGCGTTCTATGGGCTTGAGATCCCGGTTCCTGTCGATGGGGAGGTCAAAAGCATTAAAATCACCTGTGAGGATGGTTGCGGCACTAGCCGAGGGTTGTTCGAGATAATGGGTTACTGTAGAAAGCCACCAGGCACGTCGGTCCAGATAGTAGTTGGGCGCATACACTGCAAGGATTCGGAATTGTTCGTGTAGAAAATTACAATGAAGGTAAAGACATCTGCCGTCGCCCGAAGAAGCTCTGCTGGAAATGGAAATACTGGGATGAAATATTAATACAGCAATCCCACCAGGCTTGGGTTGAGCGTTTGATGAGAGGCGGGGGGGAACTTGTGCGTAAGCCTTGGGTTTTAATTTGAAAAGCAGGTGTGAAAAGTTGGTAGTCAGCCTGGTATCAGTAAGAACGAGAATGTCCACAGGTTTCCTTGTGAACCATGATCTGAGGGCGTCCAGTTTAGGAGGGGTATTGAGACCATTCACATTGATGCACTGAAGTCTAAGGTGTGTATCCATTATTTAACAGAGGTAGAGGCCCCTTGTGTTCCGTAGAACACACATCCACAGGGGCGGGAAGGCGATCCAACTTCAATATGACTCCTGGAGTAAAGAACAAGATAAGAATTGACACAAGGCACCAAGCCGAACTGTATGAATACCTCTTGCTGAGATATCAGGCCAGAAGGGAAGAGAAGTGTACTAGTCGTTACGCATACCCAGATGTAAAGCCATCCTATCCCAACGCGAGGAAGGCGGCAATAGCCTGGTTCTGATTGAGGATGTGCACTTTCACTTCCCCAAACTCTTCCAGGGGGTTGATGCCACCAGAGATCGACTGAGCGGCCGCCTTGTGAGAGGGGCAGGCGATGTGGGCCATCGCACTGTCTAGAGCCCAGCCGCAGCGGTAGGAGCACAGGACACAAGTCCAGACCTCCACCTCTAGGTCTATCCCAATGAAGAAGGTTCCCGGATCCGCCTTGAACGAAGCCACAGAGGGATGATGTCCAATGATCCTGGCTGGGAATCACCACGGGGAGGAGGTCAAGCATAGCAGACCAGCAGACCAAGATAGGCAGGAAGAGAAGGAAAGTCCAGACCAACACCGCGGTCAAATCGTGAGAGGACAAGCTCCGCGAGTAGCAAGTCAGGAAGAAAGCGGAATCGACCGGAACTGGGAACTCCGAAGAGCACAACCAGAGGGAACCACAGCACAAGAACACACGACCAGCAAGAGAGAAGGGATTGGGGGGGGGGCGAGTACCATTGACATTTTGGAGCTGCCCAAGAGTGATGGCGAAAGGGTTGTTGATACGGCTCCTTCGAACCGCCGCGAAGTTGCTATGATCGCGTGTCCGATGATTGCTGGAGCACACTCCGCACGAGTGTGCCGAGACATTCACCAAGATGGGCTCTTGGACGTTGGGTACCCAGATCACCGCAGGGATGGCCTCGAACATGGGGTCGTTGGGAGGCGCAACAGCAATACCAAGCATCTATGGGAGGAAGGATTCCTCGTAGGGATCACAGAGCTTGTGAAAAAACAGGAGATCTCCGAGCCATCTAGCACCATTTGAAGCACTTGACACGAGCAGTGAACGAAGAGTCTGGACAGCAAAACCCACGGGCACGTTACGCAGAACCAGCACAGTTTCGCCACGGGCCTTGGCGGCGGAGAAATCGGGAGCGGGATCCTGGTACACCTTGATCTCCGCGGACGGCCCTTCAGATGTCCGGTAGGTGATCGGAAGAAGCTGCTTGAACCGGTTCGCGTCATCGACCGACGGCCATTGGAGCAGATGACGGCAGTACGAGCGAAGAGGAAGGCGCAGGAGCTCGCCTGCAGAGGCCTCAAAGACCGGGACGCGGCCGCCAGCGAAGTCGCGACCACGCAGGATGCTGTGCACGCGGGTTAAGATCCGACTGCGGTGCGCCTCAAGCGCCTCAGGGAACAGAAGAACGACAAGTGCGTCAGTGTCACGGGCCAGTGCCGCGACGACGACTCCCACAGTCTCACGGTTGCGCCGGAGGCGCTGATACCGGCCGGTGATGGCGAGGGCGACCACAGGATTAGCCTCCTGGGTCGACGTTGAAGGAGCAGGCGCAGCCGAAGAAGGACCGGCTGCGGGAGCCATGACCGGAGAGACCGTCGACACCACCGGGGCCGCGCGGGGAGCCACAGGTGCAGAGCTGGATGATCCGGCAGCACAGACGCGTTTCGCAGGGGGAGGAGCAGAGACAGCGGGGGTGACCGCTTCTTCAGCGAAGAAGGAGTCAACCGAGAAGGAAGCACCGAGCTCCTCCTCACCCATGAGTTCGTCGTGGTTGTGATGGGAGCCCATTGCACCAGGTGGTAAGGACAGACTGTCATGGTAAGTCGATTTGTAACAAGGAAACGCGGTTCGACGCGGAAGAGGTGAAAGGGTAGGCAGTACGAATCGCGGCAAGGAATGGACATTAATTGTTCCAATTCCAGATTTGAAAGAGCTGTGGCTTCGGCGATGGCCTAAGCACACGGTAACCAGCAAGGATCCAGCGAGGAAGCAAGGAATCGCGCGACGTGCATGGAGAGAGCACACAGGAGGACGCACCGACACGGCGGGTCGTGACGCTAGCACCCAAGCGCATGGCTGGGAGTAGACGTGGAACGAGCAAGATTGAGAAAGTAGGGTTTTCCAGGGAGCGTAAAACCTCCTGGGAAGCCAGTCCGGAAGGGAAACGAGGAGCGCGGACAGCCAAGGGAGCTGTTGCCGAGTGAGCACACAGGAGCGTCGGCAGAAGGGAGTTCTGTGGAAACCACCAAGGAGTGAGATGAAAGCAAGACCCACCAAAACATGCCGAGACAGCCAGAAGAACCGATCCAAAAACAGAAAGACCGTGTGAAGAAGGGAGACCCTAACCTGCAAGAACACCAAGCAAACCGGAGCAAAAACCGAGCGAAACGAACAGAAAACATGGCGAAAACCAACCTCGAAACACAACCAAAAGGAGAAGCGAAACTCACCTACCACCGACCAGACCTGGAGAAACAATAGCCAGAGGACAATGGTCCTGGCATGCAGGCTGACGCGGCAGCGTAGCAGAGGGTGAGAAGGCTGGAGCTCCGAAGTTGCGGGAAGCGGAGAGTAGTTCGACATCGACTTAGGGCGCGAGTGGCGCTGCAGGTGGGATGATGTGTGGCGCTGCAGGTGGGATGATGTGTGGCGCTGCAGGTGGGATGATGTGTGGCGCTGCAGGTGGGATGATGTGTGGCGCTGCAGGTGGGATGATGTGTGGCGCTGCAGGTGGCACGATGTGTGGCGCTGCAGGTGGCACGATGTGTGGCTTTGAAGGCATTCCCCTCATTTTCCTTCCATGCGTGTCTGCTCCCCTTTTCTTCTCTCTCCCCTCTCTCCATCTCTAGGGCGGCAGCAGGCAACAGCAACGTGCAGATTTCCAACATTGGCGCGGCCAGTGGCATGGCGCCAGGGGCGCGCCTGGCCATCTACAAGGTGTTCTGGCAGGCAGGCGGTAACCTGTACGCCACGAGCACCGACATCTTCTCAGCCGTTGATCAGGCTGTCGCCGACGGTGTGGATGTGCTGAGCCTGTCGCTGGGCGGAGCCAGTTCAACGGATACTGATTTTGACGACGTGCCGTTTATCAGCGTCAATGCGGTGAGTGGCAATATGAGTTGTACCTGTATCTCTTTATGGGGTTAGTAGCAACGCGGAGCGCCCTTACCTCTATCTTCTTACCTGTATCTTCTCTCCTTATTCGAGTGTGTACTGGCCCAACTGCCTTGATCACTTCGCTCACCTAATCTTCTCCCCTCACTCGCCTTCCCTCGTCTCCCTCTTTCACCTCTCTCCTTTCCCCTTGCCCTCCCCCCATCAGGCGGGGGTGTTCGTGGCCTTTGCAGCGGGCAATGAGGGCCGCCCATCCTCTGCTGCAGCCTCGGGCTACCGCACGCTCTGCAACTTCGCACCCTTCTACATGACTGTGGGCGCCAGGTAAGGATGGGACATGCGTTTTGGGGGGGGGGGGGGAGGAAAGAAAGCGAGTGGTGGGGTGAGGTTGAACTTTGAGGGTCCAAGTCCTCTGCAGCTATATGACCGTGGGTGTTAGGTGAGGTGTGTGGGGGGGGAGGGTGCAGGAGTGAGGGCAGGGTGAGACGAGAGTGAAAAGAAGGAGCAGGGTGTGATGCTAGAATCGTCTTTGCACCCACGGGCTATCGCACGCTCTGCAACTTCCTTCGTTCCTCTCCTGTTCCCCCCATTCTCATTCCCCCATGCGTCTGTCCCTGTGCCCCTCCCGCCCCTTACCCCCTGCCCCACGCTACAGCTCCATCTCTCGCAACGATGCATCCATCTCCTCCACAACAGCAGCAGCAGCAACAGCAGCAACAGAAACAGCAACAACAACAACAGCAACAGCTGCAACCGTAGCACCTATGGAAAGCCATTCCAACACCACAGCCAGCACAGTGTCAACCCTCAACGGAGCGCGCATCCCAGCCAGCATCTCCCCAGCAGCCACCGCTGCCCCGGTAGTCGCCTACTTCTCCTCCACCGGCCCACTCGACAAGCCCTCATCCGCCACACCAGCAGCCTACCCCTCCAACACCATCCTCAAGCCCGACATCATCGCCCCGGGGGTTGGGCTCTGGTCTGCTGCTCCCGACAAGACTGTTGGCTCTGGGGGGTGGTTCGTAGCGCTGTCAGGGACGTCCATGGCCACACCGCACATCGCTGGCATTGCTGCTCTCATCATCCAGCAACGCCCTGATTGGACGCCCTCGCAGATCATGTCGGCAATGATGACTACTGCACGCACCACTGATACCAATAACGGGGCGATCCAAAACGAGTTTGGGAGAGCTGCGACTCCGTGGGAGATTGGAGCAGGGCATGTGGTGCCTGCTAGGGTGGTTAACCCCAGGTTAACCTATAATGCCGGGGAGCAAGACTTCCAAAACTTTCTCGCCGGGCAGAACTACAACCGGGCAAAGGGTGAGTTCGGCACAACTTCTCTCAGGGCTCTTTCCGCGAAGAATTTGAACCGTCCAGCTATCTCGCTCCCTCAAGTGCACAAGAAAGTCTCAGTTTCACGGACTGTAACGAATGTCGCGGATGCCACGTCGAAGTATACGGCGAGAATAAAGAATCCCGCCGGAGTGAAGGTGAAAGTGTCACCGTCAAGCTTCACAATCGCACCCGGGCAACGAAAGACTTTTACGGTGACTGTGGTGGTGAAATGGGCTTCACAGTCTTTCAAATTTGGCAGCCTCACATGGGTGGATAACAATGGGCATTCCGTGCGGTCAGTGCTGGCCGTGCAGCCGAGTAGTGCTTGCAACTTTGGTTGCTAAGAGGAAAAGAAGGCGAAACCATGTGGTGTGCGTGTGCCGCATACTATACCACCAGTGAAACTGCTTATGCTGATTCTTTAGGTGCCTCAGGAATCTAGATGGAGCCATGTTGTGCTGTTGGTTGGTGCTCTAGGAAATCGGCATGCTAGCTGTATTGATTATTGAGGCGCTTCAAGAATCTCGAGCAGTGCTGTTTATACACCAGTGAAATGTCTTACGGTACTGGTTGTGAAAATCTTTTGCACGTGTGGAGTGGAGGTGCCCAACGTTATCAAGATGGCTTGCTGTACCTTGTAGGGTAGGTGTTGAGACTTGTTATAGTGTGAGTGAGAGCTTCTGCTGCCCAACGTTCACGTGTTGACTCAAAAGGTAGGTAAGTCCATAGTTTTCCCGAGCAACAAACAAGGCTGTGTTCGAGATGGACTGGAGGGAGGGTGGGTCAAGGTCTACAATCCAGGACTAAGTGACAACAAACAACATACGTCAGCCGGGAATCGAACCCGGATCTTTTGCTTGGAAGGCAAATATCCTAACCATTGGACTACTGACGTTCCTTTCAGTCCAAGTTGTTTAAATATTCTGAATTTATATATTTCTCGTGTGTGGTTCAACGAAAGTAGAATCTTCTTCCGAGCCTGGCATGGTTGACTCGGCATGTTGCTGAACAGCGCATGCTCTTCCCAGGGCAGTTTCCCGTATATTTTGCTCGTAGATAGGTCAATATTCGCGCGGATCGGAGCACCACTGGCTATGACGCTGCAACTTATACCAGTTTTCGTAATCCCACCTAGCTTCTGGAGAAATTCCACCCACATTCTGGGAATATTGATTCAACACAACGACTGACTATGCTTTTCGACGGGCAGGGAGTTTATCTAATCAGCCGTTTCGGAAGGGGGTTCACAATCTCCTTCACAAAGCAAGCCGTCCAACCAGTGCCAAGGAGCAACCAAGAAGCCCAGCAGCCAAACACCTCTCTTGCCGCGAACCTGTGATCCACTCGGCAACCCCTAGGTAAGTGCAGTAACGACGTGCATTTGTAGGTCTGGAGTATTGTAAACTGATGCATTGCGACGCGTCCTAGTTACGTGAACAGTTCAACTAGTTTTTCTCCGAGGCAAGTTTCGTTCAGACATTGCACATTTTCTTCCACTGCTCTACAATGGCTTCTGAGGATTGTTCAACACGATCGGAAAGTAATATAAGCACCAAGGATGGCAAGTCGAGGCTGCGATTCGACGAGTCCGTCACCGTGATTTACGGAACCGGGGAAACCGAAATTGAGACGCTTCACGTTCCAGAAGACTCCTCCTCCTCCGCTTCTGGTGCGGAGCCTCGCGAGGCCGCGAGCAGTCAATCGGATGTAGCCTTGCGGGACGAAGCAGACAGCTCATCTGAAAGCCATGGCCAACAAGCCGCAGCAGCGTTCGGAATGCGCCACGGCGAGGCGGAAGGCGATGACCTTGCGGAGGATTTTGATTATTTAGATCTGGAGGATTTGGAGCAGACGTGGCCGGAGCGGAGGGAGAGCATTCTCGGCACGCGATGCGGATCGCCTAAAGGCGCCACGGAGATCGGAATAATGCGGTCGGATGCGATTAGGTTCGGCGGGCCTCGCGAGTCGCTGAAATCATGGACCTCGCAACCACGCGCGTGACGCAACGGCGCGCGCGCGCGTGACGCCTACTGCGTGCACTTACTTATGGTTTAGTTCAGCCACGATCTTCCTTTTCAGACTTCACAAGTCTCTCTCCGGAAGCGCCCTCCCTTTCTGCTTCTTTTTTTCTCTCTCCTTTTTCCCCGTGTATTCCCGCTTCGCTGCTCTCGGACGCCGCTGCGTCACGCTGCGCCGGCCCGTCGTTTTTGGCGAACTGGCTTTCCCGGGCTAGGCAAGATCAAGCGGTCGGAGAAAAGGTTGGCGCATAGGGACGTGTTGTGTCGGCGATTGTAGCAGCGAGAGGGGTGTTGGTGGTCGTTTCTTCTGTGATGCTCAGTCGCTGAATGCTGGGTTGGCTCGCGAGTCGTGGTGTCTCCTATGCCTCCCCTTCAATGAGCAGCAGAGCATGGCAAGGCGGCGTGGCAGGCGGCCCCACCCAGCCAGTGCTTTTCAAGCTCGAATGTCTGCTGCTCTGCTCCTTGCATGCCTCTGCTGGGGCTGGGGCTGGGGCTGCTCACATGGCGTTGCTGTGCTGTGCGCTGTACATTTGTGCGGGACATTGAGAGGTGTATTACCGTAGAAGTTGTCATGACTCGAGGGTTACTCCCGCTCACTCACTTGAATCCCTAGTTTAGGTTGCTTGCGGCTAGCTAGCTTGATGGCATGTGCCGCTGCATTTGCTGATACTTGTGCGGATGCATGCGTTGATACGACATGTACCGTGCTGATATGTGCCGATGCGATATGCACGTGCTGATGCATGTGCTTGCTGCTAGCATCACATATGCTTCTCTTGCACTTACGGTACTATTCTCTTGCTTGGTAGTACCGTACCTGTAGTCCCTCAGTCTGCATGCTGGAGAGTAGAGTTGAGGGTAGGCCCAAGGCCATATATAAATAGTTATTGTTACATGTTACTAAAATAGGCTTGATGCCAACGAAGCAAGCTGGCTTGAGGTGGCAATTGGTGGAAATGCAATACAGAATCAAAGTTCAGACACACCAACCTGAGCACTATAGAGCTACAATTACCGTCACCCCCCGGATATAAGCGCCACCCTAGGATAAGCGTCTGGCGCTTCTAATTGGCATATGGCGCTTATATCCCCTCCTCGATTATAAGCGCATACCCTAGAGTCGTACGGATTATAGCCGCATACCTGTACCTTACACATTATAACCGCCACTTCTTTTAAAAAAAAAATTTCTACACGCTTCACTAACCACATTAACATTGTATATTTTCATCTAATTAATTACAAAGTCAGTTTGTCTAAAGTTTTTTCTAATTACAGTTCTAAATCTACCTACGAGTCTCACAGGCTACAACAATTTCTAGATCTACGTAATCTAGTCATCAGCTGCGGTAGGATCATCCGGGTCGGCCTCAGAGTCCGACTCTGGTTCTTCTACGTTGTTGCAGAAAAAGCCATCTGCTGCAATGTCGTCGTCGATGTCTATTTCGTCGCCCTCAAGCTCGTCGCGCCTGTGTTGCAGGCACATCTTGTCCTGGGACCCATCCAGGGCGTTACTAATGCCACAGGTGAGGAAAGCCCGTTGAATCAAGTCCCTGGGCACGGCCTTCCAAGCCGCTGATATCCACTTGAGCGTTAGCTCAGGTGGTGGCTTCTTGATGTTGCCTGCCATAAAATTTAAACAATCAAAAGTCAGCCACCGCTACAAACTGTTAAAGCAGCACACGCATGGCCTGCCTCTCTCACCTTTCTTTGTCAAGGTGTCGACCCCCTCGCTCTCGAACCACTCCTGGTAGAGCTGGCGAACGGATGCCTTGAAGGAGCGATTCACCGCGACGTCCAGAGGTTGAATCTCCGAGGTGCAGCCAGCTGGGATAACGGCAGGGACGATGTTCAGCTCCCCGAACTTCTTCTTCACCTCCGCAGTCAGGTGCCCGCGGTACGAATCCAAGACGAGCATCGCTTTGCGGGGCCTCACTCCGAACTTGGGGTGGACGAACGGCTTCACTGCCCCGTCGAGCCACTCGATGACTCCGTCCGCGTCCATCCAACCGTTGGGATGGACGGACACCGTAACATCTGCACAGCCATAAACGCACGTACAACATCAGTAGACATAGAAAAAAAAAAAACATGCAGCAGTGGGTGTTAATGCTCACCTGAAGGGAAAGCCCCTTTAGGCAGGGTCTTCCGTTTGAAGAAGACCCACGGCTTCAGCTTCTCACCGCTGGCAGTGCAGGCGAGCATCACCGTAACTCGCTCCTTCTGATAGCCGCCGCTGCGGATAGGCACAGAGCGCAGACCCACCTCCTCGACTGTGCGTTCGGCAGGCATCTCGAGCCACAGTGGTGTCTGGTCCGCGTTTATTATCCACTGCGGGTCAATCTTGTATTGGCGGCGGGTGTGACGCACGAACTTCCAGAAATTCCTGACGTCAGTCTCGCAGTCTGGGAGTACGGGTGGGAGGGAAAGAGAGAAGAGAGTATTAATGACGCGTTAAAATTCAACCGTGAAACATAAAGAGACAAACAACACAAAGCAGTACACATTAAACTGCAACCATTTCCCACAAAACTCACTGGCAGCAAGCTTCTGGCCGACCCTGGTCTTCGCTCGGGTTGTCAGATTCCAACGGCGGCGAAACCGCTCAGTCCACCGCTGCGAGCCGGACCACTTTACCTGTGGGTGCAATTCTTTCATCACCTCATGCGACCACTTCTGTAGGCGAGCGATCGAGACCGCGAGACATTTTTTACGGTGGGCAAGAAACCTCCTGTAGACTTCAGCTTCCATGTCGCGATACCACGAGCTCCTTCCGCGCCCATGAAGACGCTTGCGAGCAGCATGCGCGCCCTCCAGGTCAGCCTTCCGGGTCTTCCATTCTGCGAGTGACCTTCGGGAGATGCCGGTTTGGCGAGACATCTGCCGCACGCTCATGTGCCCGGACTCAAGCTTGAGAATCCACTGCAGTTTCTCCTGCGATGTGTAAGAGTGCCGCTTGTGACTTGAAGGCTTGTGCCTGGGGGAGGGAGGACGGGCATCGCGATTCTCGCGAGAAGGGTGGGGCCGTTTCTTATTGGGGGGGGGGGGAAGGTGGGAATAGGCAGGTGCTCTGGAAGACCGTCGGCAGCCCAAAACTCCACGTCATCCTCCGCACCAGTCGCGGATTCGTCCAACGGGCAATCAGCCGGGGCTCCCCAGCGTGGCGACGGTGCGGAGGAAGACGATGCGCCACCGGCGCGGTCGGGCTCGGACAGGTACGCGTCAAACGCCGAGTAGCCAGGAGGGAGGAGAAGCTGCAGGACCCCCTGACGTGGAGCACAAAACACAGGCGGGTCAGGAGGGGACGGAGGAGCTGGAGGAACCGGAGGCGCCGGGGGAGCGGGAGGTGCAGGAGGAGTTGGGGGAGTGGGAGGAACGGGAGGAGCTACTGGTTGACACGGAGGGACGGGCGCAGGGCGCGACTGCCATTGAGAGTAGTCACAGGTGTCTCGGCGGGTGTTTTCTCTGGCAGCAGGATGGCGGCGGAACAAGAAATGCGTGCCTGGAAGGCCCGCCATGGCCACGGCAGGCCAAACGAACAAAGAAACTTAAGGCAAAAGTCGAGAATGAGGGCTGTATGAAGCCCTCGCCCGAGACCCCTTCATTTTCGCGGCCCGGCCTCCTCTGCGGGAAAAGGGTGGCCCCAGTCAAGATTCCCCGCAGAGGAGCTGAGCTGGGCAGCTCCTTGCCTCGGTGGCGGGGAATTTTGCTGTTGATGGGCACACCGTGGCTGAACCACGACGTGCCCACGATCGCATGCAACCCTGATTGGGCCGCTGTGATGCGAGGTACGTGTGCACTGGCATGGGCCAGGTTCACGTTCGATGAACCTGGCCTGGCCAACAAGGCGTGGAAGGCGTGAAGCCACGCCTTGTTGGCTGTTTCACACGCAATGCATGCACAGTTTCGAACGTTCTCGACCCAGGTGAATCCGCGTTTGAGAATGCTTCGATTTGGTATATTAAAAAACAAATTTCAAATTTGACAAATTATAAACGCCGGCGCTTATAAATTTACTATATTATAAGCCCACCCCCTCAAAAAAACATGTTATATTATAGCCCCCCATGGGGGTATATCCGGGGGGTGACGGTATGGTTTCTGAGATTTCCCAGCATCACTCCCCATCATCACAATCATTCTCCCCTCATCACCGTTATCTCCCCCACGGGAATTTCACGCCTCCGCCTCGTTGCCCCTCTGCCTCCCCCGCTGCCTGCTGCCCTGCCACCGGCCGTGCCGCAGCAGCACCACCTGCTGCCGTCACGTGGCGACTCACCAGGGCTGGCAGGGGCGCCTTGAGTGGGTACGGCACCTGCAGGGGCGGTGGCATCTGCATGCTCCAACTCCCCCACTGCACCTTGCTTGTCTCCTCATGCTCTGCCTCGTGCTCTGCCTCATGTGCTGCCTCTGTTTCCTCTGTCTGCCTGCCCTCCCTGCCTTGCTCATGTGCTGCTGCACCTTCCCGTTGCCTTTTTGTCCCCTCTGCTGTTTGAAAGCCTGCACCGCTATCACTCTGCAGCTGCTGCTGCTGCTGCTGCTGCTCGTCCGCCACACCGATTTCGCTGCTGCCGCTGCTGCTGTTGCTACCAAAGCTGCTGCTACTGCTGGTGCTGTTGGTGCTGCTGTCAGCGTGTGCGGGCGGCGGTAGCCCCTTGAAGAGCATCGTGGTGGTCTGGAGGCGGTCGAACCGGAACCCCGACTGCCACACAAACAAGCTGCACCACAGAAGAATAAAGAATCAATATGTGTTAGTGACTGGTAACAGGAACTGATACGTGTGCGGGCGGCAGGAGTATCGTGGTGGTCTGGAGGCGGCCGAAAGGGAACCCCGACTGCCACACAAACAAGGTGCAGCACAGAAGAGGATTATGAAGGAATATGTATGTGTTGGTGATGATTGATCCACTCGTGAAGGTACACCCATACAAGCAAGGATGAAATCGAGCAACAAGGGGTGTGGATGATACAAGGAGAGCCAGAGGAAGAAAGGAAAGGAGGGGTGGGGAAGAGAAGGTGCTGTCTTGTGGGGTGCTCAGCAAAAGCAGAGCCACATGCTGAGCCAGGGGCGTGCGGAGAGGCAGAGGCGTGAGGAAAGCAGAGGCGCGTGGGGGTGAGGTGACAGAGGATGGAGCGAGAGCAGGGGTTAAAGAGAGGATAGCAAGAGCTAGGAGAACTGGCATGGGTTGTGCTGTAGGTGACGTGGCAGCACAATAAGGCGATGCTCAATGCGATACATGAGGGGGAGGGGGGCCCAGGTGGGGGTGAGGTAGGTAGAAGATGGGGGTGAAGGGAAGGATTGGGGGGGGTGCTCTGTCTGTATTGTGCACGCCGTGTGGATGCCTCAGGATGCTCTGTGGGAACTAAGGCGAATTTTGAGGCGCCTACTGGTCTTGAAGACACTGTTTACTCCGTTCCGTGGACAGCTCGTCTCAGCCTAGGGGTCCTTTTGAGGCGCCTCAAAAATCGCCTGTATTGTGCACGCGATGCGGATCCGTGAGGGAGCTCGTGCTGTGTGGGTTGGATGGAGTGTGGTTGCCATCAAACACACAATCCAAGGCTTCGTCTCGCGCACACAGAGACTGCAGCAGTCATCACTGTAAAACGGTGGCGGCTATAGCAGCTGTAGCAGCAGTAGTAGCATTAGCAGCTGTAGCAATGGCGGCAGGTGTAGCAGGTATGGCAGGTGTAACAGTTATAGCAGCAGTGGCAGGTGTAGCAGGTATGGCAGGTGTAACAGTTATAGCAGCAGTGGCAGGTGTAGCAGGTATGGCAGGTGTAACAGTTATAGCAGCAGTGGCAGGTGTAGCAGGTGTAACGTCACCTCACCGCTGGTTGGGCCACACGACAGCAGAGATGTCTCCAATGCCCCTCGATAGGAGCTCCCTGGAGGTAATGGTGCAGGTGTAGGGGTGTAGCAGAGATAGCAGCAGAGGCAGGATCAGCAGGTGTGAGAGCGACTCACCGCTGGTTGGGCCACACGACAGCAGAGATGTCCCCTATGCCCCTCGATAGGAGCTCCCTGGGAGTGAGCATGGTGGCGAGGGAGGAAGAGAGGAGACGAGCAGCAGAAGAGAATAGAAAGAGAGGGGAATTGGCAAGGAGGATCATTGAAGCAGAGGAGTTTTTAAACAGAGAAGAACCAGAGAAGAGAAGCAGAGGAAAACAGAAAAGGAGAGTCGAAACAGAGAAGAATAGAGACAGAGGAGATGAGAAATAGAGGCTTTTTGTGCACATCCGCCTGGAGATTCACCTGAGGATTCTCTGCAGCACCCTTGTGCCGAGGCCACGGCCCCTGTATATTGGTGCCACCTGGCATGGTGGAGAGCGGTGGAGAGTGGTGCGGTGGAGTGTCAGGGGACGGTAAGGGATGCGAAGCAGAGGAAGAAAAAGGGGAAGCAAATCCGAATGGTATGATGTGCTGTGCTGTGCTGTGCTGAACATGTGATAACATGATACGGCATCCCATGGTATGGTACCCCAGCACCCCATGGCATCACACGGCTTTTGAGGCACCTCAAAAGCCGTGCTGAACACATGGATGCCATGGATGGCATGGCATCAGATGGAATGGAGTTCATGAGGGGAGCGCACATTCGCTTCGCCTATGCTGTGTGTACAACATTCGAGATGAAACACGCCCTGAAGCATAAGATGAAACGCACTCAGGAGATGAAAAGCACCCAGGAAAAGAAACGCACCCACCCAGCACATGAAACGCACCCAAAAGATGAAATGCACCCAGGAGATGAAATGAAACGCACCGCGATGTCATGCACGGCAGCAGTGAGCGTGCCATCGGAGTACGCCCGCCCAAACGCCACGAGCCTCTTGCCCTCCACACTGCGCCGCGCCTCCTCCACCGCCTTCGCCCTCCTCCTCCGCGCCCACTTGCTCATCCCCCTCCTCTTGCCCCCCCTCGCCCCATTGCTACCCCCCTTGCTTGGCGTGTCCCAATCACTTGTGGTGGTGGTGGTGCTGCTCTCACTATCACTCCCACCATCACTACCACTGCCGTCTTCCGCACTGCCCTTCCTCTCCTTCCTCACCCCCTCCTCCGCTTTCCCCACCTCCTCTCCCTCCTCCTCCCCCACCTCCTCGCCCTCCTCAGTGTAATAATCCTCTGAGAGATCTTCCTTCTTCACGTACAGACCCACTGTCACTGTGCTGCACCCGTGGACAGCAGGGATATGACGTGGACAGCAGGGGTATGACGTGGACAGCAGGGGTATGACGTGGACAGCAGGGGTATGACGTGGACAGCAATGTCCACAGTGTGGCATGACATGATATGAGAAGAAAGAAGCACATTCTCTCATCTCGCTTCTCCATGGAATCGAATCGACACCCATCATCTCTACCCACAGGCACCCATCATCTCTACCCACAGGCACCCATCATCTTTACCCACAGTCACTCCATCCACGCTCACTCTCCACTCTAGCGCCATCCTCACCCCCCCCATCTCCCTCCTCACCCCCCCCATCTCCCTCCTCACCCCCCCCATCTCCCTCCTCACCCCCCCCATCTCCCTCCTCACCCCCCCCATCTCCCTCCTCACCCCTTCTCCCATCCTCACCCCTTCTCCCATCCTCACCCCCCCCATCTCCCCCCTCACCTCTTATCCAGCGCTCTCCTCATCTTGGCAGCATCAGCCCGCCTGACTCTCCTCTGGTCCACCGGCACGCGAGCCACGTTCACATTCCGAGGCACCGGGCGGCCGTCGGGCGGCGACTCGGGCGGCAGCAGGGCGGGGAAGAGTTGTCCGTTCTGCCCAGATGCTGCCAGCAGCGCCGCCACCTCGCGCTCGTCCATGGCTGCCGCCTCCGTGACTATAGTGAGGGGCGGGATGCGCAGGGCTGAGGACCACGGGCAGTGGGGGAGGAGAGGAGATGAGAGGAGTTGGTTGTTAAGAATTCTCACAAACCGAATCACCACAGGTAGTGGAGAAAAGGGGAAGTAGGGGGGTAGAGTAGTGGAGGGGGGGAAGGCAGGGCGCTGGTCCATGGCTGCTGCCTGCCTCCGTGGCTATAGTGAGGGGCGGGATGCGCAGGGCTGATACAGACCCACCGGCATTGGGGGGGTTGGAGGGGGAATAGGGAGGAAAGGAAGGAGTAGAGTGGAAGGTGGGGGAAGCGAAAATTGGAAAGGAGGGGGGGAAATGGGGGAAGAGGGTGTGAGTTGATAGGGGAAGTTTATTATAGGTCTTAGGCGCAAGCTCATGACTGAGAGAGGAGGCTGGTGGGGACCGGGGGCGACCTGTAATCTCAAGGGCCACACCCCGCTTCCTCCCTCCCTCCCCTCCTGCCCCTCTTTCTTCCCTCGCTGGAATCTCACCCCTGTGGGCTGCACATGCACCCACTCCAAAGCTTCTCAGAAGCGTCGCCTACCCGTTTGGGACGAGAACAGCTGGCACCGCGTGTCCCTGCCAGGCGACCCGGTTGTCCCGCCCCTCGCATGACCGCCCCACGTCGAGCCGCCCAAAGCCGAGCCGCCCAATGTCGAGCCGTCCCACGTTGAGGCGCCGCCCTGCCGCGAGTCACGGACCCCCGCCGCCAGCAGGCGCCCCGCTGCGTCCGACCCATGAGAGCTCGCCTGCACGCCACGTAGGTGCGGATGGGCGACACGTGGGCTGTCCTGCATGCCACGCTGGCGCGAGTGCGGCGATGGGAAGGGCGGTGCGGTTGCGAAAAGACCCGTCTGTTGCTCGTGCCGCGAACGACGGTCGCTGAATGGAAGTGGCCGATTCAGGAGGCGGGGCGAGTGCCAGCCACGTGCCCAATACGTGGCATGCGCGTGCCAATCGTGCGCATTCCCCGCCCGTCGCGGCTGCAAGGAGGCGAACTGTAGTTGTTGACTGTAACGGCGCTGCTGGTGCTGCTGGTGCTGGTGCTGCTGCTGCTGCTGCTGCTGGGGGTGCTGCTGGTGGTGGTGATGGTGCCTAATCTGCAATGCAGGGATGGCGGCTGGAGGCGACGGCTGGCACGCGGCGCGCGGACAGCGAGGAAGCGTGGCGGTGTGCGGGGAGGTTATTACGGAAGCCATACCCGATACAGGTGCTCGTGCATGCCCTCGTGACTAAGTGACGGCACAGGTGCAAAAAAGGTGTAGAAATGGGATTGCTCTACTGGAAATGGGGGCTTGCTGGCGGCGCAGGCAGCGTTGCAATGTCGCTGTAGCATTCCCCAACTCCGCCTCGACTGACAGTGAGATGAAAACTTTAATATATTTCAGTCTCACGAGGCATCTGTGGACCACCAAACACTTGGAGACGTTCGTCGAACGGTCCAAGAATCACGGACCGACGATAATCATTAGCCCGAGGGTAGTGACTACTCATGGTAAAACCAATTGCTTGGCGTGTTTGTTACAGCGATAGGACAGAAGCTTCAGCTTGGATAGTGGAGGTGGGACTCGTTAGAGGACGAAACGAGAGTATGTACAAGGCGAAGCAGGTTTCGATTGAGGCTAACGTGTATCAGCTCGGGACACTTAGAAGTGGGAACTTGTGGATTGTCAATCTAAACTGCGTACAGAATCAGAAGTGAAGAAAACGAACCCGTCAGGCAAACTCCAATAGAATTGTGCCAGCGACGAACATCGACAGTGTTTCTCCTACAGAATTGGGCTATACGTGGCGGCGCGCTGCAGGCTGACGAGGATCGAGCTTTCGTGGGGTTTGCGCCTTCCGATCCGCCAGGCACGCGACTAGACAAAAGTCACCGACAAAAGCAATCTAAGCCGTCAAATCAATATTGCTTCGACACGTAAGTCAATCTTGTCCGTCTTTCCGCATCGAAATGCCAACAAACTCGAACCTGATTGATTCTGCATCCATGTCATTTATCTCGTGACTCATCGAACGAGACACCTGACAGACACATCTCCAATTGATGAACTTCGTGTCCAAGGTAGGTGTCATAGTTCTACAAATCAGGAGCAGCTACAAGGCATGTCTCATACCGTTCCCATTCCGAATTCACTCTTCAAGCGTTCTCATAACTAACAACCAACTAGTGAACGGTTGCGCGTCGTTCGCGAGCTATTCGCGGATCGTCCTCGTGACTACTATCTTGAAGCATCGACCTCCTCATGCTAGCCCCTCCTCCGTCACTCGCGCGCCCTCGACTGCTCCACCCGCGCCGCGCCGTACACAATGTCGTGTTCTCTCCTCTCGCACGCTCTACCTCCCTGCCTACCGCGATTCACGCCCAGCACGCCGCTCTGTCAGCACCATAACGGTCAGATTAACGGTCGCACACTTCAACGACAGCCCTCGCTCGATCCGTCACCGCGTCGCTCTCGCCGCTCCCCCCGCGGCATCTCAGCGTCCCCCTTCCAGCCGTCGTTGCGCCCATCCGCTCTCTCCAAGTCGAGCCAATCCAACGGTCACCGCCACAGTCTCCGTCCCCGCTGGCCCCTTCTCACCATTCCTTCGCGAATTCGCAGCGGGACTCGCGAACATAACAGTCGCCGCGCGGTCGCAGCCGCGGCGCACGGCGACGGAGCAAAGGAGTCGGTCGGTGGTGAGCGCGTGACGACGCCTGATGCGACGAGCGGCGATACAAAGAGGAACAGCGAGGGATGTAGTGGCGAGACCACCAGGGGCAGTGACAGTAGCGAAAGTAGTAGCACTAGCACGGCGCCACCAGGCCAGGATGCAGATTCTTTGCATCCATCCCCGCTTCAAGCCTCCTCGCCACAAGAACCAACCCTCGATCCTCCCCCGGATCCCACAAACGACCCCGCCACTCCCTCCCCCCCTTCCGCCATCTCCCCGCCCACTTCCTCCACCTCCCTTCCTCCGCCCAGCTTCCCCGCGTGGTACTTCTCCCCGCGCCACGTGGCAGCGCACTACGCAGTCAACCTCGACACGGGCCTGTCGGAATCCGACGTGGCGCGGCGGCGCGCAGCACACGGGTGGAACGAGCTAGACCGACCAGCAGGCACGCCGTTCTGGGACCTAGTGTTAGACCAGCTCAACGACACACTAGTTAGAATCCTAGTCGCCGCCGCTGTGGTGTCGCTCGCGCTGGCCGTGGCGGAGCAGGGCGGGGTAGGGGGCGCGGGAGGAGGAGCGGAAGGCGGAGGGGGGGGCGGGGGGCTGGCGGGGTACACGGAGCCGGTGGTGATCGTGGCGATCGTGGTGCTGAACGCGCTCATCGGCGTGTGGCAGCAGGTGCAGGCGGAGCAGTCGCTGCAGGTGAGATATGGCAGTCGCTGCAGGTGAGATATGTCGCTGCAGGTGTGATATGTCGCTGCAGGTGAGGGCAGTGGCTGCAGGTGAGGGCAGTGGCTGCAGGTGAGGGCAGTGGCTGCAGGTGAGGGCAGTGGCTGCAGGTGAGGGCAGTGACTGCAGTTGCAGGTGAGGGCAGTGGCTGCAGGTGAGGGCAGTGGCTGCAGGTGAGGGCAGTGGCTGCAGGTGAGGGCAGTGGCTGCAGGTGAGGGCAGTGGCTGCAGGTGAGGGCAGTGGCTGCAGGTGAGGGCAGTGGCTGCAGGTGAGGGCAGTGGCTGCAGGTGAGGGCAGTGGCTGCAGGTGAGGGCAGTGGCTGCAGGTGAGGGCAGTGGCTGCAGGTGAGGGCAGTGGCTGCAGGTGAGGGCAGTGGCTGCAGGTGAGGGCAGTGGCTGCAGGTGAGGGCAGTGGCTGCAGGTGAGGGCAGTGGCTGCAGGTGAGGGCAGTGGCTGCAGGTGAGGGCAGTGGCTGCAGGTGAGGGCAGTGGCTGCAGGTGAGGGCAGTGGCTGCAGGTGAGGGCAGTGGCTGCAGGTGAGGGCAGTGGCTGCAGGTGAGGGCAGTGGCTGCAGGTGAGGGCAGTGGCTGCAGGTGAGGGCAGTGGCTGCAGGTGAGGGCAGTGGCTGCAGGTGAGGGCAGTGGCTGCAGGTGAGGGCAGTGGCTGCAGGTGAGGGCAGTGGCTGCAGGTGAGGGCAGTGGCTGCAGGTGAGGGCAGTGGCTGCAGGTGAGGGCAGTGGCTGCAGGTGAGGGCAGTGGCTGCAGGTGAGGGCAGTGGCTGCAGGTGAGGGCAGTGGCTGCAGGTGAGGGCAGTGGCTGCAGGTGAGGGCAGTGGCTGCAGGTGAGGGCAGTGGCTGCAGGTGAGGGCAGTGGCTGCAGGTGAGGGCAGTGGCTGCAGGTGAGGGCAGTGGCTGCAGGTGAGGGCAGTGGCTGCAGGTGAGGGCAGTGGCTGCAGGTGAGGGCAGTGGCTGCAGGTGAGGGCAGTGGCTGCAGGTGAGGGCAGTGGCTGCAGGTGAGGGCAGTGGCTGCAGGTGAGGGCAGTGGCTGCAGGTGAGGGCAGTGGCTGCAGGTGAGGGCAGTGGCTGCAGGTGAGGGCAGTGGCTGCAGGTGAGGGCAGTGGCTGCAGGTGAGGGCAGTGGCTGCAGGTGAGGGCAGTGGCTGCAGGTGAGGGCAGTGGCTGCAGGTGAGGGCAGTGGCTGCAGGTGAGGGCAGTGGCTGCAGGTGAGGGCAGTGGCTGCAGGTGAGGGCAGTGGCTGCAGGTGAGGGCAGTGGCTGCAGGTGAGGGCAGTGGCTGCAGGTGAGGGCAGTGGCTGCAGGTGAGGGCAGTGGCTGCAGGTGAGGGCAGTGGCTGCAGGTGAGGGCAGTGGCTGCAGGTGAGGGCAGTGGCTGCAGGTGAGGGCAGTGGCTGCAGGTGAGGGCAGTGGCTGCAGGTGAGGGCAGTGGCTGCAGGTGAGGGCAGTGGCTGCAGGTGAGGGCAGTGGCTGCAGGTGAGGGCAGTGGCTGCAGGTGAGGGCAGTGGCTGCAGGTGAGGGCAGTGGCTGCAGGTGAGGGCAGTGGCTGCAGGTGAGGGCAGTGGCTGCAGGTGAGGGCAGTGGCTGCAGGTGAGGGCAGTGGCTGCAGGTGAGGGCAGTGGCTGCAGGTGAGGGCAGTGGCTGCAGGTGAGGGCAGTGGCTGCAGGTGAGGGCAGTGGCTGCAGGTGAGGGCAGTGGCTGCAGGTGAGGGCAGTGGCTGCAGGTGAGGGCAGTGGCTGCAGGTGAGGGCAGTGGCTGCAGGTGAGGGCAGTGGCTGCAGGTGAGGGAATGCTCCATCCGGCCCCCATCTTCCTCAATCTGCCCCCATCCGCCTTCCATTCATTTTCCTATCCTCCCCACATCTGCTCCCAATCCGTCTCCCATGCCCCCCCCAGGCACTCAAGGAGCTGCAGCCGCAGACGGCGCGTGTGAGGCGGGCTGCTGCGCCCGGGGTGGGCATGGGCGGAGCTCGTGTGGCGGATGAGGGAAGTGCGAGAGAGACACGCGATGACAGTCCAGCCAGCCAGCTCGTAACCCCACCAGCGGCACAGGTGGTAACCCCATCAGCCCCAGCAGCAGCGGCAACAGCAACAGCGCCAGTCATAACAGTGCCAGCACCGTTTGTGACGGTGCCAGCGCGGGAGCTGGTGCCGGGGGACGTGGTGGAGGTGCGCGCAGGGGACCGCGTGGCAGCAGACATGCGCATTGTTGCGGTGGTGAGCGGTTGTGTGCGGCTCAATGAGTCCACGCTCACGGGGGAGAGCGAGCCCCAGGTGAAGCAGACAGAACAGGTGGCGCAGAGGCGAGGAGGGGTGGAGGAAAGTCGGTGGGACGACAGCAGCAGCAGCAGCAGCAGCAGCAGCAGCAGCAGCAGCGACGATCTGGCAGTCCAGTCAAAGGCCAACGCGGCGTTTGCTGTTAGTGGGAGCAGCGTGGAGGAGGGAGCAGCACAGCAGGCAGATTGGGACAGCAGCAGCAGCAGCGACGACAGGGACGGCAGCATCAGCAGCAGTGACGGCCTGGAGATCCAGGCAAAAGCCAACATGGCGTTTGCAGGAACGACTGCAGCAACCGGGTCATTCATGGGGGTGGTGGTGGCGACGGGCATGGCGACAGAGGTGGGGCGCATCCAGGCGCAGATCACAGCGGCCGCAGCGGAGGAGGCGCCGTACGACACGCCGCTGTCGCGCCGCCTGGACGAGTTCTCGACCGCGCTGACCCAGGCCGTGGGCGCCATGTGTGTGGTGCTGTGGGCGGTGAATTTCGACCGGTTTGTGGCGTGGGACGCCGTGGGGCGGACTCTCGTGTTCAACGCTCAGCAGGCCACGTTCTACTTCAAGGTCAGCCGTGGTTGTAACATCCGTGGACCCAACGGCCTTGATTCTTCCAAATCATGGCCTCACAACAGGTGGCAGTGCTTCTGCTTGTAGCCGTGAGTCTCGAGGCGAGGGCCTGCCAGCGGTCATGACCACGTGCCTGTCTGGCATGACCACGTGCCTGTCTGGCATGACCACGTGCCTGTCTGGCATGACCACGTGCCTGTCTGGCATGACCACGTGCCTGTCTGGCATGACCACGTGCCTGTCTGGCATGACCACGTGCCTGTCTGGCATGACCACGTGCCTGTCTGGCATGACCACGTGCCTGTCTGGCATGACCACGTGCCTGTCTGGCATGACCACGTGCCTGTCTGGCATGACCACGTGCCTGTCTGGCATGACCACGTGCCTGTCTGGCATGACCACGTGCCTGTCTGGCATGACCGCGTGCCTGTCTGGCATGACCTCGTGCCTGTCTGGCATGACCGCGTGCCTGTCTGGCATGACCTCGTGCCTGTCTGGCATGACCGCGTGCCTGTCTGGCATGACCACGTGCCTGTCTGGCATGACCACGTGCCTGTCTGGCATGACCACGTGCCTGTCTGGCATGACCACGTGCCTGTCTGGCATGACCGCGTGCCTGTCTGGCATGACCTCGTGCCTGTCTGGCATGACCGCGTGCCTGTCTGGCATGACCTCGTGCCTGTCTGGCATGACCGCGTGCCTGTCTGGCATGACCACGTGCCTGTCTGGCATGACCACGTGCCTGTCTGGCATGACCACGTGCCTGTCTGGCATGACCACGTGCCTGTCTGGCATTGGGCACTTGGCGCATGGCAGAGGCCAACACCATCGTCCTGTGTTTCCCATCGGGTGTTAGGTCGTGCTGTGGTTGCATCCTCCCCCCCCACCCTCGCCATCCCATCCCATCCTTACGCCAACAGCTGGCGCCCTGGCTGTAGCAACCATAACCATTATCCCTTACCTGAAGCCTGGACCCTTAACGGTCCTGTACGCCCCACCTAACAGGAAGCAGTGGCGTTGGCAGTGGCAGCAATCCCCGAGGGGCTACCAGCAGTCATCACCACGTGCCTGGCGCTCGGCACACGGCGCATGGCAGAGGGCACTCGCGACTCTTGCTGTTGTGTGATGCCCTATGCTTTTGTTAATCCCGACCCTTCTTCCAAACCTTCAACCCCGACCTAACAGGAAGCAGTGGCGTTAGCAGTAGCAGCGATCCCCGAGGGGCTGCCAGCAGTGATCACCACATGCCTGGCGCTGGGCACACGGCGCATGGCAGACGCGCACGCTATAGTCCGACGCTTGCCATCCGTTGAGACGCTCGGGTGCACCACCGTGATCTGCTCCGATAAGACCGGCACGCTCACGACTAATCAGATGGCCGTTGCCAGCCTGGCGGTGCCACGTGGCGCTGACGGGGACGTGCGGTGGTATGATGTGTCGGGGACCACGTATGACCCGGGGGATGGGGAGGTGGTGGGGTGGAGAGGGGGAGGGCGAAGGGCAGGAGAGGGAGGAGGGGAAGGAGGAGGAGGAGGGGGAGGGGGAGGAGGTGAATCTATTTTGATAGAGGGGGGTGTAAGTGAGGGGGGTGTAAGTGAGGGGGTTGCGAGTGAGAGGGGTGGCAGTGCGGAGGCGGGAGTGTGGAGTGTGGCGGCCATCAGTGCACTGTGCAACGACAGCAGCATCGCGGCCACCAAGGGGCGGTACGGCTGCTCTGGCATGCCCACTGAGGCCGCTCTCAAGGTGAGGGGGCACTCAAGGTGGGTGCGCGAGGAGGTGAGGGACGGTGTGGTAAGGCGGAGTGGGATGGGGATGAATGTTAGATCGATACAGTTCCGCTACTCTGGCATGCCCACCCACTGAGTGTGACAGTGCGGTGAAAAGGAAGTGAGTGAGGTGGTGGAGTGAAGTGAGGTGAGGTGAGGTGAGGTGAGGTGAGACTTTTAAGGGAGGTGTTCTGACATGCCCTCTGAGGCCACGCTTGAGGTGAGGGGTCACAGGTGGAGTCAGTCACAGTGAGTGTCAGTGAGGTGCGATTGGAAGGAAGGAAAGAAAGAAAATATACAGTAACTGCTGCTTGTCCCCAATTCCCCACATGCAGCTGCTGCCAGAGAATCTGGGCGTTCGGAGCACAGGAGAGCAGGCGCGATTTGAGAGAGAAGCAGTTTCATATTTGTCCTTGCATTGCCGCTTGCATGCAGGTGCTGGCGGAGAAGCTGGGCGTGCCGAGCGATGAGCAGCAGGCGCGGATAGAGGCGCCGCGCAGGGTGGGCGGGCCGCGGGGCGGCGACTGGGGAGGAGGAGAGCTCCCTCAGCATGGCGAGCGCGTACTGGGAGCAGCGGTGGGCGCGCGTGTGCACTCTGGAGTTCGACCGCCTCCGCAAGTTCATCAGTCTGCCTCTCCCTCTGTCTGTGTGTGCGCACATCCCCTCCACCCAGGTGCTGGCGGAGAAGCTGGGCGTGCCGAGCGCAGAGCAGCAGGCACGGATAGAGGCATCTCGCAGGGCCGGTGGGGTGACAACTGGGGAGGAGGGCTCTCTAAGCCTCGCAAGCGCGTACTGGGAGCAGCGGTGGGCGCGCGTGTGCACTCTGGAGTTCGACCGCCTTCGCAAGTCCATGAGCGTGATTGTCACGCCCCTGGGGGGGCACGGCTTGCCCTTGCAGCAGCAGCGCGAGGCAGTTGGGGCGGGTGCGGCAGTAGGAGAGCCAGGAGGAGTGGGGATGGGTGCGGTAGTGCGGGAGGGCGTGGCTGTAATGGAGGAAAACATGTTGGAGGGAAGAGGAGGGGGGAAGGGAGAGGAGGGGTTGTGCGGAGCAGGAAACATGTTGCTGGTGAAGGGAGCAGCAGAGTGCGTGCTCAACCGCTGCTCCTCGCTGCAACTCCCCTCGGGCACCATCGTCCCCCTCTCCCCCTCCGCGCGCACCCGCCTGACCCACAGCATTGCAGCCATGGCCTCTCAGGGCCTGCGCGTGCTGGCCTTCGCCTTCCGACACAACCTCCCCCCTGCCCTTGCAGGCTTGGAGGCGCCTCAAAAGTCGCTCGCCTTTCGCGACAACCTCCCCCCTGCTCTTGCAGGCTTGGGCTTGAAGACCGGGCGGGATGGGGGCGAGGGAAGCAGGGCAGTGGGTGACGGGACCAGGGAAGAAGCGCAGGGGAGGGGAGGGGAGTTGGGGGATGAGGTGCAGGGGAGTGGGGAGGGGTGGAGTGAGGAGGTGCGGCGGTGGGTGGAGGATGGGAGTCGGTACGAGGAGCTAGAGAGCGAGCTCACGTTCGTGGGGCTGGTGGGGATTCGAGACCCGCCCAGGCCTGAGGTGCCGGGGGCCATAGCGGCGTGCACGAGTGCGGGCATGCGCGTGATTGTGATCACTGGTGACTCGGGGGCCACTGCTGATGCTGTTGCACGGCAGATTGGTCTGTTTGGGGGTGGTGGTGGTGGTGGTGGGGAGAGACACGGTGACATGCATAGCGTAACGGATCCGGCCCGGCATTCGTACGCGGCAGCGGAGTTTGTTCGGCTGCCGGAAGAGGAGCAGCTGAGGATCCTGGGAGGGCGGCCAGAGAGGACACAAGGTGCACGTGCAGGGGGGGAGAGAGGCGCGGATAGAAGTAGTGGAGGGGCGAGGGGTGGTAATCTGGTGTTCTGGCGGGCGGAGCCGGCACACAAGCAGGCGATCGTGAGGGCGCTGCGGGCGCAGGGCGAGGTGGTGGCCATGACGGGCGATGGCGTGAACGATGCTCCCGCGCTCAAGCTGGCTGACATTGGCATCGCCATGGGGGCTACAGGGACAGAGGTGGGTGGGGAGGGGTGGGGTGGGGTGACTATTGAAATAGGGCTTAGGTGTTGATCATTTCAGTTAGTGAAAAGGGCGGGGTCCATTAGAGCATGCGAGCGCTTTTGTAATGGTTCCAACCAGTGACAGATGGGTGCAGAGGGTTGCCATGGGCAACGGGTGGTGACGGTGATGGGCAATGGGTGAGTCGCGCTTTCACCCTCAAACTGGCTGACGTTGAGATTGCCTGCGGAGATAACTATTACAACGGGATCTAGACTACGGGCTAGGCACGGGTGCTCGTGTGATTATTGCGTCCTTAGTCGTTTTCCTAGTGCACACACTGCTTGCTAGTTCACGGGGTAATTTGGCAAGAGTTTCACTAGTGAAAGTTGACAACAATGGTACAACAAAGTTTGCATGGCACTACATCAGAGCTAGCATTCAGGTCGGTCGACTGCCAGCGCAGCTCGGTCGACCGCGTTCCAGAACGACTTGGTCGACCGCGCTCCAGCAGTGCAAAGTCGACGGCGTGCCAGCGTTGATCCCGCAGAACAGCAGCGCACCTACTTCGCAGGTGCTCGCAGATGATTGGCAGGCTGAGCCTCGTCACCTGCACAACGCACACACCAAGTCATCCTCGTGCTGACGACTCCACCTGATCCGCCACGTCGACCTCGGGATACCACCACCGAGGTCAGCCTCGCCAACTTCGCCTGGGCGACCGTCGCACTCCTCCGCAGAACCTCGTCACCCAGGTAACCTGGTCGACCTAGCAACCACGTCGACCAGCTGCTCCTGTATGTGCCCGTCGACCTCCCAAGTCGACGACCACCCCAAGTCGACCTCACCAGGTCGACCACGCCCCTGGTCGACGAGCTCCAGGTCGGCGTCACTCCTGGTCGACCAGCTTCACGTCGACCAGCACTCTTGGTCGACCAGCTCCATGTAGACCAGCGCAGTTGTCAGCCAACCACCCAAGTCGGCTACCCGAAGTCGGCATCACCAAATTGACGTCCTGCTATTCGACGCCCCGCTGCTCGGCGTCCTGAGTCGAGGTCAACGTCGGCCCCTCCGCCGTCGACTACCAGGTCAGGTCGACCACTTGGTCGACATCACGCCTGGTCGACCAACCACCACGTCGACCAGCAGGCCTGTCAGCCGACCACCCAAGTCGGCTGCCCCGAGTCGGCGTCCCAAAGTCGACGCCCTCCGTAGGTCGACTTCCTAGGTCGACTTCCCTGAAGTCGGCGCCACCCTGAATTCGGCGCTCGTACAGTGGTCCCCGTGCAGGTCGACCTCCTCATCAACCAGCTCGCCCAGTGCTGCAGGTCGGCTGCTCCCCTCACACCCGACCACGTAGTCGGCTCCGCCCAAGCGAGGACGGGGCCAACACACAACTCCCGTTGACATTGCCACGGGTGCTACTGGCACAGAGGTGAGGGGTGGCGAGGCAGAGAGGTGGGTGGAGAGGGGTGCAGATGGCATAGAGGTGGGTGCTGATTGAGATCTCTCAGAATGATGCCCCATCCCTATCCCCATCCCCATCCCTATCCCCATCCCCATCCCTATCCCCATCCCCATCCCCATCCCCATCCCTATCCCCATCCCCATCCCCATCCCCATCCCCATCCCCATCCCCATCCCCATCCCCATCCCCATCTTCATCCCCATCTTCATCCCCCATACCCATACCCCCCATCCCCATCCCCCATTCCCCTTCCCCGATCCCCCATCCCCCATACCCCATACTGCATACCCGCCCATCCCCCATCGTCGAATCCCATATCACACCAGGTGGCCAAGGAGGCAGCGGACATGGTCCTAGCAGACGACAACTTCGCCACCATAGTGGAGGCAGTGCGGGAGGGGCGCGCCATATTCGACAACATGCGCGCGTTCATCCGCTACCTCATCTCCTCCAACATCGGCGAGGTCGTCGCCATCTTCGCCGCGTCCCTGCTCGGCCTGCCCTCCTCCTCCTTCCTCCTCCCCGTGCAACTCCTCTGGGTCAACCTCGTGGGGGACGGAGCTCCGGCGGTGGCGTTGGGGTTTACGCCGCCGGAGGCTGATGTGATGGCACGGCCGCCCAGGGAGAGGGACCAGGGGCTCGTGTCGCCGTGGGTGCTGGTGCGGTTTGGGGTGCTGGGGGCGTATATCGGTGCTGCGACCGTTGGGGTGTTTTCTGTGTGGTTTTTGAATGGGGAGGTGGTGGGAGGGGGTGGTGGAGGGGTGGAGATGGGGTTGGGGACGGTGGAGGAGAGTGTGGTGGGGACGGGGATGGGGGGCGGAAATGGAGGGTGGTTTGCACCGTTTGGGTTGGACAAGGATGGGCATTCGGCTGTGACGTGGGAGCAGCTGTCCCACTCCCGAACCTGCTCTGTCTGGTCCGTGCCTGCTGCTACTCTCACCGCCCCTCCTCTTGTAGACCCACCAGCAACCGCAGCAGCAGCAGTACGAGCAGGAGTAGGCTCACCCGCACCTGCCCCAGCACCAGAATCTCCCTTCAACCCGCATCTCTCCTACACAGTAGCAGGCGGCGGCGTCGTCTCCTTCCCAACCCCATGCGACTACTTCACTCACGGCACCACCAAGCCATCTACCCTCGCGCTCACCACGCTTGTCACTATCGAGATGCTGCTCGCCCTCAGCTCCGTCTCCGAGTACCGCAGTTTGCTGCAATCTCCACCGTGGATCAACAAGTGGCTCATCCTGGCCGTTGGTGCGTCCATGGGGCTCCACGTGGCGCTGCTGTACTCGCCGCTGGCGGGCGTGTTTGAGGTGGTGCCGCTGACGTGGCAGGAGTGGGCGCTGGTGGTGGTGTTCTCGCTGCCCGTGCTGCTCGTGGACGAGGGCCTCAAGCTGGTGGGCAGACAAATCTTTGCACGGCAGAGGGGAGGGGTCAGATAGAGTTGCAATGGCTGCGGTTGACCTCTCTTTCCTCTGGGCGCTGGTGCTGCTGCTCTCACTGCCCGTGTTGCTGGTGCTGGTGGTGGATGAGGGGCTCAAGCTGGGGGGCCGACAGATCTTTGCACGGCAGAGAGGAGAGGCTAGAAAGGCCCTCAAGGGTCAAATCAAGTCTCAGTGGCTCCCAAGTGTCCTCTCCGCTGGTGGTGCTGCTGTTCTCACTGCCCGTGCTGTCCTCTGGTGGATGAGGGGCTCAAGCTGGTGGATGAGGGGCTCAAGCTGGGGGGGCGGCAGATCTTTACGCGGCAGAGTCAAGGGGCTAAGTAGACTTCTAAGATTTGAAACAAGTTTCAATGGCTCCAACTGTCCTCTCCTCTGGCGCTGGAGCTGTCTCTGCCCGTGCTGCTCGTAAAGCAAGGGTTCAAGCTGGTGGGCATGTGGCACAACACAAGGAGGTGTGGTGCCGATGGTGGATGGAATGGAGGGGTTCACTTGGTTGGTTGGGAGCCTAAAATTTTCAAGGTAGAGAGTTCCAATGGCTCTAGAGTGTCTCTGGGTGCTGCTGAGACTCCCTTGGCTCATGCTGCTGCCAGTAGCAGCAGAACCTCAAGCTGCATGGCAGGCAGGCAGGTGCACCGCACTGCAGACACAGCCGCTCAGTTTCGCTGCTGACTGTGGGACATACGGTACCAGCAGGATAGGAGGAATGATGTGAGCTCGTTCTTGACGAAAAGCATTTCCTTTCCAGCCTGCGGCATTTGTTTGTGAAAGAAATTTACGGTAGAAGCAAAGTTCATAGTGTTAAACGGCGCCAACTTCATAGCCTGCTAATAGCATTCGTCTGTTGAAGAGTGGAGTGCATGCATGTGATCCATGTCGCTTAGCATTCGCATGTGATCCATGCCGCTTAGCATTCGCATGTGATCCATGTCGCTTAGCATTCGCATGTGATCCATGTCGCTTAGCATTCGCGTGTGATCCATGTCGCTTAGCATTCGCATGTGATCCATGTCGCTTAGCATTCGCATGTGATCCATGTCGCTTAGCATTCGCATGTGATCCATGTCGCTTAGCATTCGCATGTGATCCATGTCGCTTAGCATTCGCGTGTGATCCATGTCGCTTAGCATTCGCGTGTGATCCATGTCGCTTAGCATTCGCATGTGATCCATGTCGCTTAGCATTCGCATGTGATCCATGTCGCTTAGCATTCGCGTGTGATCCATGTCGCTTAGCATTCGCATGTGATCCATGTCGCTTAGCATTCGCATGTGATCCATGTCGCTTAGCATTCGCATGTGATCCATGTCGCTTAGCATTCGCATGTGATCCATGTCGCTTAGCATTCGCATGTGATCCATGTCGCTTAGCATTCGCATGTGATCCATGTCGCTTAGCATTCGCATGTGATCCATGTCGCTTAGCATTCGCATGTGATCCATGTCGCTTAGCATTCGCATGTGATCCATGTCGCTTAGCATTCGCATGTGATCCATGTTGTGTCCAAAATACAATGGCTGGTTCTGAACCGCTGCAAGCCTACTGTACTACCGTAACAGTCTCGACCAGCTATTCTCAACTGTAAGTGTGGGGGTGTGCCCTTGGATGTACACCCTGTTTCTCACTACTCTGAACTGTGCCGAACTGGTGGAAAACCTCTCAACAGACTCTAATCACTTCAGTAAAACACGGTAACTGTAATCACATTCAGCAGCGCAGAAACGCAGTCAACCACACAAGTCTGATAAGAGGGGTGGCTGATAAGAGGCGTAGGATCACTCCCTTAGCAGCCAAACCAGCATGCACTACTCGGCTGCACGGCCAGCACGGACCGCACGGAGTGCCCTTTGTTGTCCACCCACGTGAGGCTGCCGAACTTGAAGGACTGTGAAGCCCACTTCACCACCACGGTCACCTTGTACGTCTTTCGTTGCCCGGGTGCAATAGTGAAGCTTGATGGCGACACTTTCACCTTCACTCCAGCAGGTTTCTTGATCCTCACTGTGTACGTTGACGTGGTATCCGCAACATTTGTTACAGTCCGTGTAACCGAAGCCTTGTTGTGCACTTTGGGCAGCGAGATAGCTGGCCGATTCAGATTCTTCGCGGAGAGAGCTCTGAGGGAAGCCGTGCCAAATTCACCCTTTGCCCGGTTATAGTTCTGCCCAGCGAGAAAGTTCTTGAAGTCCTGCTCCCCGGCATCATAGGTTAACCCAGGGTTAACCACCATAGCTGGCACCACATGCCCCGCTCCAATCTCCCATGGCGATGCAGCAGCCCCATACTCGTTTTTAATCGCCCCGTTACCGGTATTAGTAGTCCTTGCTGTAGTCATCATTGCCGACATGATCTGCGAGGGCGTCCAATCAGGATGCTGCTGGATGATGAGAGCAGCAATGCCAGCGATGTGCGGTGTGGCCATTGACGTCCCTGACAGCGCTTCAAACCCTCCCTTAGAGCCCACAGTCCTGCCGGGAAAGGCGGCGTAGAGCTGGACCCCCGGGGCGATGATGTCGGGTTTGAGGATGGTGTTGGAGGGGTAGGCTGCTGGTGTGGCGGCTGAGGGCTTGGCGAGCGGACCGGTGGAGGAGAAGTAGGCGACTACCGGGGCGGCGGTGGCTGCTGGGGACATGCTGGCTGGGATGCGCACCCCGTTGAGGGTTGACACCGTGCTGGCTGCTGCGAGGGCTGTGGGGGCTGTGGTGTTGGATGGAGGCTCAAGGGATGCTGTTGTTGATGTTAATGCCTTTGTGGAGGAGATGGATGCTCCGTTGCGGCTGATGGTGCTGCAGGGTGTGGCAGTGGTGGTGGGTGGTGGTGGTTGGGGGGGTGGGGAGGAGGGTTAGGGGCACAGGGGAAGATGTGATGGGGGATTGAAAAGAGCAGGACAGGGACGCTCCATTGCAAGAGATGTGGAGGTAGAGGGTGAGGCAGAGTGGTGCGGAATGGGCACAGGGGAAGATGTAGGGAGAAAATGAAAAGAGTAGGACGGATGGGAAGTGCAGGAGAGGGACAGAGCAGGAGAGGGGAAGAGCAGAAGAGGGATGAGACGAGAGGAGAGGGGCGATGTGAGGGGAGGGATGAACAAGTGCGAGGCGAGGGTGTGAAGTGGAGAGAATGCACGCACAGTCATGCCTCTTCTTTCCCCTTTCTTCTTACCTGGGCCCTGGTGTCGTGGTCTTGTGGCAGGGTGTCGTGGTCTTGTGGCAGGGTGCAACCTCGTGAGTCATGACTTCCTCCTTCCTCTCCTCACTGACTATGCCCATCCCTCACCTCCTTCCTCTCCTCACTGACTATGCCCATCCCTCACCTCCTTCCTCTCCTCACTGACTATGCCCATCCCTCACCTCCTTCCTCCCCCCTCCTCCTCACCTGGCGCCCACAGTCATGTAGTAGGGAGAGAAGTTGCAGAGCGTGCGATAGCCCGTGGCTGCGGATGCTGATGGGCGGCCCTCATTGCCCGCTGCAAAGGCCACAAACACCCCCGCCTGATGGGGGGAGAGGGAAAGGAAAGAAAGGGCGGGAGAAGGGACGCAGGGAGAGGTGCGACGATGAGAAAGCAGAGGAGTGGAGAGAGGAGAGGCTGAGGCCAAAAGCATGGCCCTCCACGTGAGTGAACCCGTGAGCACTAGAATAATGAGATAAAGGTACAGAGATAGAGGTAGGAGCACTCACGGCATTGCCACTCATGGCGTTGCCCATAAGGAGATACAGGTACGACTCATATTGCGCGAGCACTCACCGCGTTGCCATGAGGAGATACTGGTAAGGCTCATACTGAACAAGCACTCACGGCATGGACGCTCATGAAGGGCACTCACGGCATGGACGCTGATGAAGGGCACTCACGGCATGGACGCTGATGAAGGGCACTCACGGCATGGACGCTGATGAAGGGCACGTCGTCAAAGTAGGTGTCGGTGGAACTGGCTCCGCCCAGCGACAGGCTCAGCACATCCACACCGTCGGCGACAGCCTGATCAACGGCTGAGAAGATGTCTGGGCTGGTGGCGTACATATATCCGTTGGTCTGCCAGAAGACCTTGTAGATGGCCAGGCGCGCCCCTGGCGCCATGCCGCTGGCCGTGCCGATGTTGGGGATTGGCACGTTGTTGTTGCCTGCTGCCGCCCTGGAGAGGGAGAGGGTGGGGGGAGAGAGAGAGCAGGCGTTGTGGAACAGAACATGCACGTGGAGAATGAGCAGGGAATGCTTCTAGGCTACATAGTACACAGTTTCCCCCAGTTGTTTGAATTCCAAATGCATACCTCGTGCCACCTGCAAATGCTCACCATGCCCCATGCACGATAGACCACACGAGCTCACCCCACACACCACATGCCCCAACACGCTCACCCCTCCCACCACGCACGCACCCCGCACACACTCACTTCGCCCACCACGCACTCCCCACACACTCACCCCGCACACCACGTGCCGTGGCCGGCAGCATCGCGCGGCGACTTCCAGTCACCCGAGAGGTCGATGGTGGTGCCGCCGCTCTCAAACCCCGCGTGGAAGATGCCCCCTCCGATGATCTTGTTGTTGCATGCGAAGTCGCTTGTCGTGGGACACGTGCCTGACCATCCAGCAGGGAGCGTGCTGCTGTAGCCCTGGTGGGGGGGAGGAGGGGTGGAAGGGCAGTGGGGTGGTGGAGGTTAGTGGGATGAGAACAGCAGTGGTTTTAGTAGCTTGGGTATTTACGAGGTGAGCAGGCGAATGAGAAGGGGACAGCGAGGCAGCGAAAGAGAAGGAGAAGCGCGAGTGGCTGCGGCACGGCGTGACGTACCGACCGTGTCGCCGAACGAGATGTGTTCCAGCCCAGCCACACGCCCTCATCCCCTATGCCGCTTTTCTAGTCGACTCAAAACGCACCCCGAATGAGAAGTGTTCCAGCCACACGCCCTTATCCCCTATGCCATCACCATTGCTAAAAACATGCTGACCCTACTGGTGGCAAGGCGAGGCATAGTAACATACCGTGTCATCGAACGAAGCGTGTTCGGGCCATATGCCGGTATCCACGATGCCGATTACAGTGCCCTCGCCTGCGCTGCTGGGCCCGCCCGCGTCGGCCCAGAGCGACCCGGGCAGGCCGAGGAACTTGTACGAGTCGGTGGTGGCGGGGCGCAGCACACGTGCCTGCGTCACGGACGCCACAGATGGGTGGCGCCTCATGCGCTGCACCTGCGCTGGCGTGAGGGTTGCTGAGAAGCCGTTCGACGCGTGCTTGTAGCTGCGGGGGGAGGGCAAGGGGAAACGAGCGCAGGGGAGGGAAGGGGGGGAGCGGGGGAAACGAGGGGCGTGAGGGTCGCGGAGAAGGCGTTCGACGCGTGCATGTAGCTGGCGCGGCGGAGAGGGGAAGGGCGGAGAAAGTGGGATGGGGATCGGGGAAGGGGATGGGGTGGGTGGGAGGGCGGATGAAATGGAGGCGGGACATAAAAGCAGAGGAACGGAAGGGGAGCAAATGGTTCGTCAGTAATAAAATTCCTCTCCTCCCCTCTCACCTATACACCATCTTCCCCTCACCTATACACCATCTTCCCCTCACCTGTAAACCATCTTCCCCGCGGCCACCCCGCTGTCTCTCAGCACGGCCTGCTGCATGCGCTGCAGCAGCTGCTTGAACGCCCTCACGCCCGGCGCCCTCACGTTCACCCGCGGCCGCCGCGGTCGACGGCCAAGCCATCCTAAACCGTTGGTAGTAGCCGCACCAGCGGTGGAGGAGGAGGAGGAAACAGAAGCGGTACCAACGGCACTGGAACCGGCGGCGGCGTCGTCTGCTGTCGCGTCTGTCGCGTTGCCGTTAGGGTCGCTGTCCCAGACGGCCGTTGCCGGGTAGCCGGGAAATCCGCCGCGGTACGAGGCGACGGGTGGCGCGGAGCGGAGGCGGACGATGTAGAGCGCGGAGACATCGGGGGGGGAAGCTGCGGGGGGAAGGGGGAAAAGGGTGAGAGAATGTTTTGGAGCGGTGCGGCATTTCAACACGCCAATTTGCCGATTCCCTTCGCGAGCCTAGCTTGCAATGAAACGAATGCGCTTGAATGAGTACTCGCTGCAAGTACCTATTCGATATCAGCAACTTCCGCATTACGGGCATAAATCGTCCAGCGGAATGGCAGCAAACTCTAATTTACGAGCGCGGAACAGGCGAGCGGCTGTGCGCGGCAGCTCGTACCGTGGGTCGGGCGGAGCAGCGGCGCTGCGGGTAGCGAGACGAGGAACACGAGGAGGGCAAAGGGGGTTCGCGTTTCCCGGCGGGTCTGTACAAGGCTGCCGTGTGAGCGGCAGCGAGAACGGCCGTGTGAGAGACAGTGTGCGCGGTGCGATACAAGGGATCCTCGTTGGGAATGGTCGAGCGGGAATGGAGGCCCAGGGAGGAGACTGGGCGAGCCAGAGTGTCTTCGCCGAGAGGCCATTTTCAAGCTCTAGCTTCAGGTGGCGCTTTGGTCCGTATGTGGTATGAGGCAGGGGACGGTGTAATCTCGGAATGCACGCGAGGTTGGTGAGCCTGTCGGCTACTGAGACTTCTGCGAGGTAAATACTCGTCTCTTCGCAAACCGCGAAAGTTCTTGGCAAGCCAAACCTCGTGCTGTGCTGTGATGGTGAAACTGGAATATTGCTGACTGCCGTTGCTTCCTGTGGCAAACCAAGAAACAGAAACACGGCTTGCTTGCGTCTTCTCCATCCCTTGCTCGCCTCCTCCTTCTCCTCTGAACTGGACGTGTTGGTGGTGCTGCTGCTCGGTGGAAGGACGCGGTAAAAGTGCCCGATCGGGGAAAATATCGATCCGCCACCGCACTGTAACCCCGCATTTCGCATACAAAAAGCACACAAACACTACGTAACTTATTGCAATCGCGTCCGACAACGAACCTGAGGCAATCGATCCTTCTACCACGTTAAGTCGGTGGGAAGGGAATGGAAGGGAAGGGCGACTAAACGAAATCCCGGTTACTCGGTCGTCAATTGCTGCTCGCGTTCCTCGCGATTCAATGCTGGGCTGCGGCGGCTGCGCCTGGCCGGGTCGTGGGGAGTTGGCGGAATGGAGAAAGGGGGAGGAAGGAATTGCGGTGGTGACCGAGGAAGAGCGAATTGCTTGCTTGGTTGGGATGGATGGAGGAGGGCACTGTGGTCGCTTCTCGCGTTGAAGGTTGCGCGGTGGTGGTATGGCAGCGGCACGGGATCAGGTTGGGTGCTGGTTTGGTTCGGGGAAACGGTGGGGGAAAAAAGCAAGCTGGCCGCTGGGTGATTGGGGAGAACTGGGGGAACGATACAGAAGAACTCTGCGGGGAAGCTCTCTTTTGCGGCGCGACTGGGTGCGGATCCAAAGGGCAAACACCCTTGATCTGGCGCACTACAGTCCACCACAGGCGTCAGCAGAAATTGACACACACCCACCCCGAGGCTTGACAGATAGCCAGCAGGGCTCTTGAGGACGCATACAGAAATACTCGTCAGGTGTTCTCCTTCCAAGTTTTGAGCCGTCCTAACTTTCTAAGTGGAATGTCAAAGAGTGGGGGTATGAAGACGAATCTGGACGGTCGGCTTGCTCCATCCAACGATTGAAGCATTTCGACATCCTTTGAGGTGTCGAGGAATGACCCCTCGGCTTCGGACATGTTGTAGTGAACATTAATTCGGAACACCCCCTGGGCTTGTGCAGCTGCCACCATCAAGCAAGGACGTAGGGCAGATTGTAAATCTGATACGCAAGCGCAAAAGCTGGACTTTCGCCTGTTTGTGGACCTGCCAGGTCTGGACGGGTGACGTGTCCGCTGCGTAATTCGTTGAAGCTTCATTCGTTGCGCTTGCAAAATTCCGCATTGTTTCTAGGGCTATTATAAAATAGTCACAATATAGAGTGTGCTATTACAAATGGTCACGATGTTATCACAAACGGTAGATGAAAACGGCAAATTTATCGAGCATGGTCACTAGTGTGCTATTAGCGCGTTATCTTAGTTGGTCTTTTGCGCGTACAGCTGTTTCAAACGTAGGAAAGCACAAAAAATATAGGTGAAGCCCAAACTCTGTTACTGTTCACCTAGATTTCCTAACATATATGACAAGAAAAATAAATAAACCTTATAGGATGGCATGCCCTTTCGGGAAGCATCAACCCCAAATACCATACGACAAGGTTTTTAGGGATGATGCTGTTGGGCTGAAGAGGCCCTTAGGATCTTTACAGGACTAAATTCCTGGTAGGACTGATGTAATAGCGGAAGCGTTTAATAAAAGGTTGTGAACCATCTTGCGCTGGTATGTGAAGGCAAAGTATATTGATTAATAAAAAATAGATACAGGATTTTATAAGAGTACAAGGGAATATGAAGAGTTATATCTAATAACGGTTTTGCTGTTTGTTGTTGCGGTTCGATACAGTGACGACTCGGGCAACTGCTCAATAGCGAGTCAGCTGTTTGTCCTTGCTCTCGCGTTGTACTTGTCAGGTCAAAGGTCGCTGACCTTTGACTTTCGCGTAACCTCCAGCAGTTGTTCAAACTCCGAGGGTTGACTCGCCGATGCTTCGATATGTTCTGCTTCGCTTCTGACTTGATGTTTCTGTCAGAACTTTATAGCTTATGCTATTGTGTAGGCTATAGTGGGGTATCCCATAGGGGGTACAACCCAATTAGGGTTTCCTATTTGTACTCACTTCATTCATAGTTCATTCATTCTCGTTCTACTTTCCTCATGGTATCGAGCAGGTTCCCTCGTGGGAACTGTGCCTAGGGCCCACCACATCGATTTTTTTTTTTCCTGCCCGAAGCGCGCTCGCACTGAGTCGCGCTCCGGGCCCTCTCTCTTTTTGTCGAGCCGCCCTAGAGGCCCCGCCTTACGTCGCGGCCCCACCCTTAGTCGCGGCCCCGCCCTACATCGCGAACCCGCCTTACGTCGCGGCCTCGCCCTTAGTCGCGGCCCCGCCCCTCGTCGCGGCCCCGCCCTACATCGCGGCCCCGCCTTACGTCGCGGCCCCGCCCTTAGTCACGGCCCCGCCCTACTTCGCGGCCCCGCCTTACGTCGCGGCCCCGCCCTAAGTCGCGGTCCCTGCACCTACGTCCTTCGCACCGGCGACCGCGCGGGTGAGCAATGTGGGGGTGCCCACACCGCCCAGCGCTGCTTTGGCCGCCTGACGGACGCTTGGCGTTAGCAGTTCCCGGAGGCTAGTGAGATCCCCCGCTGGGGAGAGCTGTCTAGGGCAGGAGTAGCTATCTTTGATCTTGACTTTGATGCTATCCTTGTTGCAATGTATGCTATGACTATTAGTGATGAGGGTGACTTTTACCGGTGTTTCCCGCCCGGCCCGGGCATTGGTACTGCTGCTCTAGGTGCCGGTGAGGCTGCTGCTCTAGGTGCCAGTGCGTCTGCGCCCTCAGGTACTGGTGAGTCTGCGCTCTCAGGTACTACGTCGGCTTCGGCCTCCCTCACCTTCACCCCTGACTCTGGGGCTTCTCGCTCCTTCTTTCGGGACCGCACCACTCTCACGCCTCTTAGTCGGCCGGTTGCGATGTCCCTGGCTGACCCCTCTGGGGGTCCTGTCCTGTCTCGCTTTTCCACAGTCCTCCCGTGTCCGGCGGCTCCCTCTGGCAGCCTGTCTGGTCTCTACCTCCCCTCGTTCGCTACGAACCTGGTGAGTGGTGCTGACCTCCAGGATGCGGGTGTCCACCAGTTCACTCCTGCGCGTCAGCGGGTGACGCACTGCACCGACGCTAGCACAGGCCGACACCTGGCTACGTTTACCCGTCAGCCGAGGTCGAGCTTGTACACACTGACCACTGCGTCTCCTCCCGCTGCTGAGTCTGGTAGGGTAGCTGCGTCAGGTCAGGTGTTTGCTGCAGCGTCCAGGTCTGGTCCTGAGTCTGCCCCCTGTTCGTGTCGTCTCCTCTCTCACGAGACTCTCCTCCGGCACCACCGCCTTGGTCACCCCTCTCTGCTTCGGCTCAGAGGCATGGCCTCCCGTGTTCTTGTGTCTGGTCTCCCCCGGTCCCTCCCTCCCCTTCCTCAGGGCCCTGGCCCTACCTGTGTCCCTTGTGTTGAGGGGCGCCAACGTGCTGCCCCTCACTCCTCCCACTTTCCTCCGACAAAGGCCCCGTTGCAGACGCTTCACATGGACGTGTGGGGCCCAGCCCGCGTCCGTGGACAGGGTCACGAGCGCTACTTCCTGCTCGTTGTTGACGACTACTCGCGTTACACCACAGTCTTCCCCTTGCGCAGCAAGGGTGATGTCACTGAGGTGCTGATCGACTGGATCCGCGCAGCTCGTCTCCAGCTCAGGCAGAGCTTCGGCTCGGACTTTCCTGTTCTGCGTCTGCACTCGGACAGAGGCGGAGAGTTCTCCTCCGGCCTTCTACGAGCCTACTGTCGTGCACGAGGAATCCGTCAGACCTTCACGCTTCCGGACTCACCACAGCAAAATGGGATTGCTGAGCGCCGCATTGGCATGGTCATGGACGTCGCTCGTACGTCCATGATGCATGCGGCTGCCCCCCATTTTCTGTGGCCGTTTGCGGTCAGGTACGCGGCGCATCAGATCAACCTTCACCCCAGGGTCTCCAGACCTCCCCAGCCCTGCTGTGGACGGGGAAGGTTGGCGATGCGTCGGCGTTCCAGGTCTGGGGATCTCGGGCGTTTGTCCGCGACTTGTCTGCGGACAAGCTGTCCCCTCGTGCTGCTCCTTGCGTCTTCCTGGGGTTCCCCCCTGACGCGCCTGGGTGGCAGTTCTACCACCCCACCTCTCGCCGTGTTCTGTCCTCCCAGGACGTCACGTTTGACGAGTCGGTCCCCTACTACCGCCTCTTCCCCTACCGCACCCCATCCCTCCCTCTACCCCCGCTCTTCCTTGTCCCAGGTCCCCCCCCGGTAGACCCCCTCCCCCCTCAGGGTCCTGCCCCTTCAGGTGTGTCCCAGGTAGACGCAGTTGAGCCTGTCGAGGTTACTGGTGACTCTGGTGCTGCTGCGGGTGCTGAGCCTGGGGGTGCTGAGACTAGGGGTGCCGGGCCTGGGGGTGCTGAGCCTGGGGGTGCTGCGACTGGGGGTGCTGAGACTGGGGGTGCTGAGCCTGGGGGTACTGAGACTGGGGGTGCTGAGCCTGGAAGTGCTGTGGCTGGGGGTACTGAGCCTGGGGGTACTGAGCCTTGGGGTGCTGCGACTGCGAGTGCTGAGCCTGGAGGTGCTACACCTGGAGGTCCTCCGAGGGCTTCGTCTCGCCGGGAGCCACTCTCTCCGCCGGAGCTGCGCGAGTGGTTTGCCCGGCGCTGGAGGCGTGCTGCTGGAGGTGGAGGTTCTTCGGCTGCTGAGGGTGCTGATGCTGCGGGTCCCGGAGGTGCTCGTGCTGGGAGTACTTGAGCTGCTGGGCCTGCGGGTTCGACTGGAGCTGGTGCTGCTGCGGGCGTTGGTGCTGAGCCTACTGCCCGCGGTCCTGCTAGGGGTACTACTGGTGCTGCTGGAGTTTCTGGAGCTGCTGGAGGTGCTGCTGGAGGTTCTGGAGCTGCTGGAGGTGCTGCTGGAGCGGGTGCTCCTTCTGGGGGTGCTGGTGCTGTCCCTGCTGTGTCTGGCGTCGCCGCGCGGCCTCGACCGTACTTCGTTCCACTCCTGCAGCAGGTTCTTGGTCTTCCACCGTCTACAGGTCCTCCTCCTTCTTTAGAGTGTCCACAGCCTGTCTTGTCACAGCTACAGTTACGGCTTGCCTCCCCACTACCTGCTCCCTCTCCTTACACTGGTCCTACTTGAGGTCTTGCTGAGCGTCGTGAGCCTGCGTCTCGTCCTGCGTCGCCTGTTCGTGCTGTTCGCGCTAGTGGTCGCGGTTCGCGTCAGCGTCCTCCTCCTGTCCCTGGCACGCACCACATGTCTCTGCGTCCGTCCACTGCTCCTCTGCGTGCCCCTTTGCCTTCTCCTCCTGCGTCCTCTCTTCCTACTCTTGCCGACCTGGAGTCGGACTCTCTTCGTGCTGTCAGTCCTACTGTCAAGCGTCTCCTTGCTACTGTCGTCACTGACCCTTCTTTCGAGTCCACTGCTACGTCTGCCCTAGTTGCTGAGCTCGTCGACTTTGCTGCTCACTGTCGCCTAGACTACGCTGCTAGTCTTGTCGCTGAGTCTGAGTCTGTCTGTCCTCCGTCCGTTGGGGGTGAGTGTGCCCTTGGCACGGACGTCCTTGAGGACAGGCAGGAGGAGTTCCAGTGCTTGGCCGCTGCTTCACCTCATCTCGTGTCCGTACTACTTACCCCTGAGGGAGACCCGGATGCACTTGACATCCCGACTCCGCGCTCTTACGCGGAGGCGATAGAGGGTCCCTACTCTTCTAAGTGGCAGGCAACTATGGATGCAGAGATGGCGTCCTGGAAGTCCACAGGCACCTACGTTGACGCTGTCCCCCCTCCTGGGGCGAACATCGTCAGTGGCATGTGGATTTTCAGGGTGAAGCGGCCGCCGGGTTCTCCGCCTGTCTTCAAGGCACGGTACGTGGCTCGTGGCTTCAGTCAGCGGCAGGGAGTTGACTACTCTCAGACCTTCTCTCCCACCCCGAAGATGACCACTCTTTGGGTGCTACAACACGTTGCCGCTCACCGTGACTACGAGCTGCACTCCCTCGACTTCAGCACAGCTTTCTTGCAGGGCAGCCTGCACGAGGAGATCTGGCTGCGTCGCCCACCTGGCTTCACTGGGTCGTTCTCTCCTGGTACCCAGTGGAGACTCCGGCGTCCAGTTTACGGTCTCCGCCAGGCGCCCCGTGAGTGGCACGACACACTGAGGACTACTCTTGCGGCTCTTGGGTTTGCTCCTTCTACAGCCGGCCCGTCGCTGTTTCTGCGCACCGACACCTCTCTGCCGCCCTTCTACATCCTCGTGTACGTCGACGACTTGGTCTTTGCCACTGCTGACACTGCTGGACTCGCCCACGTGAAGTCCGAGCTGCAGAAGAGACACACGTGCACAGACCTGGGTGAACTGCGCAGCTACCTTGGCTTGCAGATCACTCGGGACAGAGCACAGCGCACCATCACCGTGACTCAGTCACACATGGTGCAGTAGGTCCTTCAGCGCTTCGGCTTCACGTACTCCTCGCCTCAGGCCACTCCTCTGCCTACTCGCCACTCACTCTCAGCTCTGCCTTCGGAAGAGTCCGTAGAGTCGAGTGGCCCGTATCCAGAGCTTGTTGGCTGCCTCATGTACCTGATGACCTGCACACGACCTGACCTTGCATACCCTCTTAGCATTCTCGCACGCTATGTTGCTCCTGGGAGACACCGACCAGAGCATATGGCTGCAGCGAAGAGGGTGTTGCGCTACTTGTGCAGCACGTCGGGCATGGGGCTAGTGCTTGGAGGGCGGAGTCCAGTGGTCCTCACTGGGCACGCAGACGCTTCCTGGGCTGACGACCAGGCTACACAGCGGTCGTCACAGGGTTACACCTTCAGCCTTGGTTCTGGCTTTGTCTCGTGGCGGGCTACTCGCTCGTCTTCTGTTCTCGGCTCCAGTTGTGAGGCTGAGATCTACGCTGGGGCCTGGCTGCACAGGAGCTTCGCTGGCTCACCTACCTGCTGACCGACCTTGGAGAGCCGCCTCGTTCTCCTCCAGTTCTGTACGTAGACAACAAGGCCATGCTGGCCTTGTGTCGAGAGTAGCGACAGGAGCACAGAACGAAGCACATTGCTCTCCGCTACTTCCTTGCTCGTGAGCTACAGCAGCGTGGTCAGTTGCGGCTTGCGTACGTGGCCTCTGAGACCAACACTGCTGATGTTTTCACCAAGGCACTTGCGCCTTGTGATCATCAGCGCTTCTGTAATCAGCTTGGACTTGTTCCTGTCTTGCCTCACTTGCTCACTTCTTGACCTTGCTTGTACTGTCATATATATATACTCTTGCTCTTGCTTACTTAGCTTCTTATATATATATATATATATATATATATGCGCCTACATGTGAACTGACATTCTGGCCTTGAACTTGTGCTCAAAATGTCTGGTGACTTTGTGATCCACCCTGAGCGTTGCTTTGCTTTGCTTGACTGGTCTTGTGACCCCTTGTTCTCCCCCACTTTGCCTATGGGGGTGTGTCAGAACTTTATAGCTTATGCTATTGTGTAAGCTATAGTGGGGTATCCCATAGGGGGTACAACCCAATTAGGGTTTCCTATTTGTACTCACTTCATTCATAGTTCATTCATTCTCGTTCTACTTTCCTCAGTTTCGGCACGACAGAGGCGCTTAAATCAATTGTTTCCAACAGATGCCTCCCGAAAATGATCCAATCAGAATGGATTTTAGATGTATTTCACGTTTAGCAAAAAACCTCTTGAGTTTTACCCATCTAAAAATGATATTTTATGATCATTATGCATCGTTCTTGCAACGAGACGGTCAAACTCGATTGGGCGCACGTCCTAACGCGCTATTAGTCTCTAAATCGAAGTAGTGTGACATCCAGGACCTCAGATTGGTTTCGGGCTAGGCTGAAAGATCAGAGTTGGTACAAAATTCCATGCTGAAAAACAGAGAAATCAGCCCATTTTATGCCATTTTACACTACAAATATAGTAAAAAATCATGTTTCTTCCCAAAAAAATGCTGAAAATTCAGCCTCAATTCTGAAAAAGGCCTGAAATCTCAGCCTTTTTTACCTAAATCTGCCTTTTTTCGCTGACTTCTGAGGCCCTGGTGACATCGCATAGAGAAGGATTTCAACTTTTGGGGGGGCGTTTCTTTTAGTGACAATTCGTGATAACATTGTGGGGCGACGAATAACCATCCGTGATATCGTTTTCACCATCCGTGATAGCTTTACTGTTTTCAATGACCGTCTGTAATAACCGTGTGATCATTTGTAATATCGTGCCCTGTATAATGGCCTTTTGTATAATAACCATTCATCGTACAACTGTATATGCAACTGTACATGTGCGTATACTGGGGGTTTGGGAAATTGGTTTGGGCCGCTTGTGAGGCGGTATGGATGGTCCCAACCTTTTCGCACCTATGCCCCAAGACGCACAGCAAATGGTTGTTCGTTTACAGATCATGGTGTACACTACTCGGACTGGTAGGTTGCTAAGCGATGAAAACAATCAACCACTCTAGATATCAAAGCATCGTACTCAACCGCGTCTACCAAACAAAGAATGAACCAAGTGAAGAATGGACAAGAGAGTCTGAAAGGAAAAAAACTCAGTAATCGATATAAGCATAAGCTAGGTATTCATACCCGTCTCCAGCATCACCTCTATGAATACTATCGGAAAGACACAAACGGGTAGATATGTTGGACCCACAAGCAGGCCGGTGGTATGTCGTTCCAGCTCTGGGAATATCGAACCAATGGACGCAACGGCGTCAACGTATTTCTGAAGCGCCTTTGTCCTCCCGCTCGCACCGGAACATAAAACCCTCTCTTGTCGCTCCGGTAATCCGGATGGACGCTACTGCATCGACGTACCCGCCCCCGCCACCTTACTACAAGCTCTACGCTGCTTACGACCCCCACACGCGCACGGGCGGCCCGCCCCCGCCTCCCGCCATCACCGGCGAATACGTGTCCTTCGGAGCCCCGTACAACGTGAGTTGGTGCATAGCTTTTGTGGCTCTTGGAGAGTAGGACGGTCGGGTGGTCCGTTGATCGGTTGGTGTTGGAGTAGGAGTGGGACGGTGGGATGGTTTGAAGAGCCCGCTCTGCGAAAGGTCGGTTGGTGTAGGTGTAGGTCGCACGTGGACGCACGTGGACGCACAGGCACAAGGAAGGAATTCACGGGCTATGCCAGCAATGGTCCACACGCAGTCACACAGGGTGACGTTCAGTATTTTCAGGGCCCGCTCGGTCTTTTCGAGACCAGCTCGGTCCCTTTGAGACGCTTGCTAATGCGTGAGTCAACCACGCTCTGGTGCATGCTGAGTCACTCACGAGTGTTATGCCTCTAATCAATGGGAAAATGGGAGTTCCTTCCGGCTCAGCTAAATTCAAGTGGTTTTGAAACGACCTTCTTCCAAAAGTTTACTGAATGAGGTCTGTTTTGTTTGGAAATGCTGGTTTCCCCGTGCACACAGCAGACCGAGGGTCCCCTACTACACAGCTCAGATGCATTCCTCTTCTTCTCTCTTGCCTCATTGACTTTCCAGCTGATCTCTCGCCCCCTGCTCCCCTCCCCCCTGCTCCCCTCCCCCCTGCTCCCCTCCTCCCTGCTCCCCTCCCCCCTGCTCCCTTGCCCCCTGCTCCCTTGCCCCCTGCTCCCCTCCCCCCTGCTCTCTTGCCGCCTGCTCTCCTGCCGCCTGCTCTCTTGCCGCCTGCTCTCTTACCCCCTGCTCTCTTGCCGCCTGCTCTCTTGCCGCCTGCTCTCTTGCCGCCTGCTCTCTTGCCGCCTGCTCTCTCGCTGCCTGCTCTCTCACCCCCTGCTCCCGGGGCGGGCAATGCAATGCAGACGGAGGATCGGCTGCCGAGCCTGGAGGAGCAGGGCGTGCGGCAGCTGTTCCCCTCCACCAAGAATATCAGTGAGAACTCGCACGCTTCACCTGCTGGCCTGTGTGTCATGTCGTCATGTCACATTTCCATCAAGTGTTCACAATATGTAGTCCCATCGTGCTATGGTGTCATGGTCTGTGCAAGCCGAGTCATCATGCCATGTTGGCACTCTTAAGTGACAGCAATCCATCATTCTTAAGTGACAGCAATCCATCATTCTTAAGTGACAGCAATCCATCATTCTTAAGTGACAGCAATCCATCATTCTTAAGTGACAGCAATCCATCATTCTTAAGTGACAGCAATCCATCATTCTTAAGTGACAGCAATCCATCATTCTTAAGTGACAGCAATCCATCATTCTTAAGTGACAGCAATCCATCATTCTTTTTATTCTTCACGTTCTCATGCGATGATGGTTGAAAGTTATCATACATAAGACATCAAGCCATCAAGCCATAAGCAAGGGTATTCTTTTCCACCAGGCACGCGTGCCAAACTCATCACACCGTGTCCATTCTGCCACCCTGCCTTTCTCCTTCACATGGGAAATGAAAGCGCGCGGCGCAGGTTTTTTTTTCTTTTCTTTCTTTTCTTTTCTTTTCTTTCGTAAAAGACAGGCAGAGCGAGCGCACAGCACCGGTGGAATCCAGGGGTCTGGTAGAGCTGGAGCTGGCATGTGCTGGGGGAAATGCTGGGGGGAATGCTGTATGCATGGCAGTCATCCCTTGCGGCTGTGTCCCTCACACGTGGGGCAGGCATGCAGGAGGGGCTGAACTGAAGCAGTGGAGCGGGCGGGTGGGTGGGTGTGCCTGTGGCGCTGCATTTTCTTTTGAGGCACCTGAAGAATTCGCCTCAGTTCTCTCGTATTTTTTAAGTGCCTAAAGAATCGCATGCAGCTGCGGCTGAAGCAGTGGAGCTGGCGGGCGGGTGGGTGTGCCTGTGGCGCTGCATTCACATCCCAACGCCCTTCTCTTGGCACCCTCTCACCAACCCCCCAGTCGCGCGTGCAGAGCTCAAGGCGCTGGGGCGTGAGTTGGGCCTGCTGGTGCTGGAGCTGGTAGGCGTTCTGGTGGCGTGACCATCACAGGTGGAGCGACTGCCATGCCTCTATGCCCTTCTCCTCCTCGCATCCACTCACCATCCCGCCCCCGCTCCCCGCTCCTATCCCTTCCGCCCACCAGACGTGCTGGTGGAGCGACATTCATGCCCAGGCCTCTCCTCCCGTGCCTTGTCGTGTCCCCACAGACACACGTGCAGAGCTCAAGGCGTTGGGGCGCGAGCTGGGGCTGTTGGCGTTGGAGCTGGCAGGCAGGCGTGCTGGTGGGTGGATCGACTACCATGCCCAGCCCAGCACTCTCCTCCTCTCCACCCCACCCACTCACCCCTCTCCTCCCTCCCTCCCTGCCCCAGTCACACGTGCAGAGCCGAAAGCGCTGGTGCTGGAGCTGGCACTCGTGCTGGTGGTGCAACTGCCATGCCCAGGCCTCTCCTCCTCCCCTGCCTCGTCGTGTCCCACCAGACACACGTGCAACGTCAAAATCACTGGGAGGGACGTGAGCTGGGCCTGCTTCTGTTGTAGCTGGCAGTCGTGCTGGTAGCATGGCTGCCATGCCTCTATGCCCTTCTCCTCCTCTCCACCCACAACCCGCCTCTCCCCTCCCTCTCTCCAGCAGACACGCGTGCAGAGCTGAAGGCACTAGGCCGTGCGCTGGGCCTGCTGGTGCTGGAGCTGGTGGACGTGCGGGCGGAGGGACTAAGATGCACTCAGGCCTCTCCTCCGCGCCTGCCTTGTCTTGTCCCCGCCCCGCAGACACGCGTGCAGAGCTGAAGGCACTGGGGCGGGAGCTGGGCCTGCTGGTGCTGGAGCTGGCGGACGTGTTGGTGGAGCGGCCATCGCAGGCAGGGCGGTGTGTGGAGGACATCTCGCTGCTCTTCACCAACCTGCACTTCCTCCTCAACTCGCTGCGCCCTCACCAGGTGCTCTCATTAGGTGGCCACCACCACGCACCCCACCAGGTGCTCCATCAGGTGCTCCATCAGGTACCCCATCAGGTGCTCCATCAGGTGCTCCATCAGGTGCTCCATCAGGTACCCGATCAGGTGTCTTCACCAGTTGCCCTCACCAGGATAAAACCTGTTCAAGCCGTCTTCATTTGCTCAGCACCATCAAGGCACCAACCAGGTCGTAGCATGCCCCGCTGCACGGCAGTCCATCACCACCACACTGCATGCCTTATCCCCTTTTCTGCTGCACCTCGTCTGCTTTCATTCCGTCCCTCTCCAGGCGCGGGCAGCACTCACACACATGCTCAAGGCGCAGGTGGACATGCACAAGCAGTCCCACGCTGCATGCCTTACTCCCTCCTTTGCTGCACCCCAACTGCTTCCTCCCTCCCATGCCTTCAGGCGCGGGCAACACTCACACACATGCTCAAGACGCAGCTGGAGATGCGCAAGCAGTCGCTGCAAGGCATCAAGGAGTGAGCACCCTAATCACCCTCATCAGCCTAAGCGCCCTTACCACCCCTTGAAATGCCTCAGCCTGCTCTCCCTTGAAATGCCTCAGCCTGCTCTCCCTTGAAATGCCTTCTTTCATCACGTCTCAGTGGTGTGGCTCTTTTTGCTTGTTGGCTATCCTCCTAGTTTTGAGAACTCTCAAACTCCTAAATGCTCAAATCATCCCAATTCCGCCACACATTCACCGTGCACCAGCCCACCACAAGTTCACCGTGCACCAGCCCACCACAAGTTCACCGTGCTCCAGCCCACCACAAGTTCACCGTGCACCAGCCCGCCAGCTAGTGTGACCTGACGACCTCACAGCAGCAGCACTGCACCGAGTGGCACCTCATGGACGCACCGAGCACCGCTGGCGCTGTGACCTCTAGGGCTGGTGCTGTGACCTCTAGGGCTGGCGCTGTGACCTCTAGGGCTGGCGCTGTGACCTCTAGGGCTGGCGCTCTACTGTATCGTTGTCGAATATGAATCCCGTGCTGTCGTTCATGCGTAGCTTGCTGCATTTCCCTGTGCAATATACCCGTTGGGAGGTGCACATCAAATTCGTGAACGACAATCAATCATCTCATTGACCAGCCATCCAAGTCCCTCTTCCCTCACTCTCCCCCTCATCTCTCCTCTCTTTTCCCTACGTCCCATGCTGCAGGCAGCGAGCAGCGGTGTGGGAGGTGCTGAGGCTGGCGGTGGGAGAGGTGGAGGCCGCCACACAAGGGGAAGCTGGCGGTGGGGGCAGCAGCAAGGGCCGTGCAGAGGGGGTGGAGGTGGAGGGAGGGGGAGGCGGCAAGCAATGAGAGAACACATGGGAGCTTCTTTTATTTGGCAGTAGTGTGGGCAAGATTGTGGTGGGGGTAGCAGCAAGAGTGGTTCATAGGGCGTGGAGGAGGGAGGGGAAGGGAAGAGGTGAAGAACTGGTGGGAAGGCAGGGGGGGATGGGAGGTGGGGGAAGGAGGGAGTGAGGGGTTAGAGGGTATGTGATTGGAGATCGAGCAGAGGCTGCGCAGTCTCTTGACAGACGTTTCTAGGCGCTCAAAAGCTGTTGCTTAACATGCACGTTGTTTCTTTCGTGGGATTATACGCTGACTGTCTCGCGTGCAACCATCGGCAAAGGTGTACGAGAGAATGACATCTCCGGCGGTACGGCGTTCACTTGAAATTAAACAATCTGACATACCAATAAGCATCACGTGCTGTTGAAAGTGCTTCACTTCTTTTGTATATAAGCTCGTATCGTCATCGCTTGGATAGAAGATAGTGTTGAATTAAGACATAGGTATCTTATATGCAGGTGTATTCTTATAAAAGGAACTTCTCTTTGTAAGACACCCATTTGCTTGTACAAGAAGACACCCATCGGAGTATCTTATAAATAACATGTTAATAGGGTCTTTCTAGCTTAGAACATCAAATGCATAGGGAATTCACGTTTTTCTAAGCACTACCTCATTTAGCACACAAGTGCAAGCAGCAATTGCCGTACACCTTCTATATATCTGTCACTCCAAAACACTTGATTTAGGACCATCCAATGCCACTCCTGCCACTGTCCATGGATTTGGGGCAGTCTATGCTGGCTCCACGAGCTTCTCTGCTGCTGCTGCTGCTGCTCCACTGTGGTGGTCGGTATCGGAGTACGGGTCATCAGAGTCCCAGCATATGCAACTGCCACCATGTCCTCATCACGGTCCTCCTCTTCGTCCTCCTCGGTGCCTTCTCTCCCACCAAACCCACTATTGTCACCAAAGGTCCCTCGCAATGACATGTCCTCTGAGACATCCATCATGCTCCTTGTTCGCAATTGGGCCACGGCGAGGTGGTTCTCCTGGCCGTCAGGACTACTGGGAGCGCCGCATGTCTCGAAGTGTTATTGCTGTGGTTATTCTTGTTGGTGTTGCTTGCTTGCCTACTAGTCGGGTAGATACCTAAACTGCATGCTAGAATTGCTGATTCTTTCATGCCTTGCCTGTACTATCAATGAAGGACCGCTTGAGAGAGAGAGAGAGAGAGAGAGAGAGAGAGAGAGAGAGAGAGAGAGAGAGAGAGAGAGAGAGAGAGAGAGAGAGAAAGAGAGAGAGAGAGAGAGAGGAGAGGGATAAAGAGAGAAAGAGGGAGAAAACAAGAGTGAGGCTTATCATACAGTGTTTCTAAATTTCATTACTTGCTTATGCATAGACCGAGAACTTTGCATGCCTCTAGTGTAGGAGCTTGTGTTGTTGCTAACCCAGCTTCGACCACTATTGACATGTCACTCTCCTTCACGCTCGACTCTTGCGTGTCCCAGTGCTTCTTCCGTGACCACACCATTGTCTTGCCACTCCCAATGCCAGTTGTAGTCACTTTGGCCGACCCTACCTTTGGACCAGTTATCGGTTGTTGTACTACCACACTCCCGTGTTCGGAAGTCCCCTCGGGTTCCTTCATAGGTCTCCACATCCCCTCGTTCTCCAAAAAACTTTTGGGTGTTGGCCGTCTTCAAGACCTTAGTATCACCACCACGTATCCTAGACACGAGAGGTTTGCGACCTGCATGGACACTACCATCGGGGCACCATTTTCCACATTTTCGGGGGAGCCTATGTCAGGTCTTTTCATCCTGCACAATGCGTCCCCCTAGGTGTTTGCGTCTAGTCAGCTCGCTGCGTTCGGTCTGGTTGCCACGTCTGTACTTGTCGGTCTCTCGCTCACCCATACCTTCTTGGCATCACCGTCTAGGTTGCCTTACACTCCCAAGTCTCCTTCACATGGCCAGGCCCCGTTTTGTCTCAGGTCTATCCCCCCCCCCCCCACTCACGTCGTGTACGCTTTGCGTCCAGGGTCGGCAGCGTGCTGCCCCTCAATCCTCGCTTTCGCTTGCAACTGCGCCTCTTCAGACTTAGCACTTAGACGTCTGAGGTCCTGCCCTAGTCGCTAGGCTGCATCACGAGCGCTACTTCTCCGTGGTTATATATTACTTACCACAATGTTTCCTTTGGAGTGGAAGGCCAACATTTTTTACGCTCTCATCCCATGGTTACTGGCCACTCGCTCCCAGCGCACCCTCCCTATGTTTCATGTACACTCTGACCGCAATGGTGAGTTCACCTCCCACTGGCTTGCCAATTTCTGCAGCGAGCAGGGCATCACCTAGTATTTCACCTTTCCAAAATTGCCGCAACATAATGGGGTAGCTAGGCGTTGCATAGGCTTGGTCATGGAGATCAAATGCACCTCCATGATTCATTCCCATGCACCCCATTTTCTATAACTGTTTGCAGTCTGCTACGATGCGCATAAGTTGAACATGTGCCCTCGTGTCTCACGCCCACATGATTCACCGACCCTTCTCTGGTCTGGGTCACTTGGTGTCACGACTTCGTTCCGAGTCTAGGGCTGCCTAGAGCATGTCCATGATTCTCGTGCAGATAATGTCTCAACCTGCCCTCTTTCGTGTGTCTTCCTTGATTTCTCCGTTGACGCCCCAGACTGTCTATTCGACCACCCTTCCTCTCACTGTGTATTTCACTCTTGTGATACAACTTTTGACGAGTCAGTGTCCTTCTACATATTATGTTTTTATAGAGGTGCCCTGGTTCCCCCCCCCTCCCCTCTTCCTCACTCCCACTCTTGATCCTGGTCCTGCTCCTCAGGTAGTCCTACCCCCCCTGCGTCCTGCTCTGTTTGGTGTGTCGTGGGTTACCCCCCTTCCCTTAGTTGTACCTCCTTCATCGTCTCCTTCAACATAATCCCTCTCATCATCCTCCTAGTCGCCGCAACAACTTTCGGTGTCGCCGTAGCTGGTCATAGTGGACATTGGGGGTGTTGACGCTGGTGGTACTGGTACCGAGGTTGCTACTACTAGGGCTGCTAGTTCAAGGGGTTTTGGTTCTGGGGTTGCTGCCTCTGGGGTGCTAGCACTGGAGGTACTGGTACTTGGTGTGCTACCACGGAAGAGTTTGCTCAAGCGGGAATGTGCCGGTCGATGAGGTTGCAGCTCCTACAACAGCAGCGCCAACAGCAACCGCTGCAGCGTCAGAAGCAGAAGCAGCAGCAGCGGTAGCAGACACTGCAGCCGCCAGACACTGCAGCCGCCGCCGTCGCCAGTGATGGCACTTCGTCACTTTGGTCTTCCTTCCCCTTCGACATACCACTCACCATCTTTCCCAATTTACAATTCCCCGTTTCCTCCCCCAAACTTATCTCCAACTTGTTAACCTCATCTGTCACAGTTGCCTCCTCTCCTGCTTCCTTTTCCATCTATTGCCTCCTGTCCCTGGCACTGTCGTCCCCTCAGTGCCCGTGCCTTGTCCCCTGTCCATGACCTCCACTCCATGTACCTTCGTACTCTCCCTCTTCGTCTTCCACCTCCCTCTGTTCTTCCGTTGCCTCCAGCGTCGTCTCTCACTATCTCTCCTCCACCTTTCTTTGAATATCTCCGACATATCACCCTTTCGTCTCCCTTCTCCTCTCAGCTTGGCTCTTGTTGCCGCTGCCACTAACTTTGCCTCCACCCACTTGCCTTGACTACGCCACCCAAATGGCAGCTGCTCCTACTGCCTGCCCTCATACCACCAGGGATGGTCTTGCCTTCAGCTGTAACATCCAAGAGGACAGGCAATTCGAGCTAGCCTTCCTTGCGGCTGTTGCTCCTCACCTCTGTGCCATGCTACTAGCCTTTGAGGGAGACCCAGACATGGTTGAGATCCCGACTTCTCGCACTTACGTTGAGGCGATCTCGGGTGAGTGGGTCTCTCTGTGGATAGCAGCGATGTACACCAATATTGCATTTTGAAGGTTCAATGGCACTAATGTCGATGCAGTTACCCTTCTTAGGGCAAACATCGTTGATGGCATGTGAATACATTTAAGGTATGCTATGCGACGAGAGGCTTTAGCCAGCGTGAAGGAGTAGACTTTTTTCAGGCCTTCTCCCCCACCCTGAAGATGACTACTCCTCGGGTACTATTGCACATCGTAGCATGCGAGAGGCTTTCGTCAGCATAAAAAAATAGGCTTCCGGGCCTTCTTCTCGACCCTGAAGATTACTACCTTTCGGGTACTGCTGCACATCTCAATAGAATCTTCTACGACCTTTCTCAAGGGCAGCCGGCATGAGCAGATTTGGCTCTGCCACCCTCCTAACTTCATTTTCTATTTTTTGCCTGGGGCGCAGTGGAGACAGTGCCAACGCCCTGGCTAGTGAGGATCTTGTAATGGCAGGGCCCGGTATCGCGACGATGCGCCCCCTAGCTATGAGGGTCGCCATTGCGGCCAACGCTCCCCAGAACACCAGATCTTTACTACTGCGGAGGACCCTAGTGCTGGAACTGCTACTATTGCTGCTGTAATTTCTACTGATGATGCTGCTGAGACCCCACCACATTCCTATGACCAGCGCCTCCTTTGGTCGGACCTGCAACCCAGGCACCGTCTCTAGTGTTAGCTCCCCCAGAGAGTCAAGTAGACCCACCACCTCCGCCATCTCCACCACCTCCACCTCCGTCGCCCTTCCAGAAGTAGCAACAGCTGTAGTATCCTCAGAAGAAAAAGAAATAGCAGTAGAAAGAGAAGTAGTATAGGTAGGGAGCTAGGGCAGAGCGCACCCCTCAAAGACATGGGGGGCTATTCCACCATGAACAGAGGCAACGGAGTGAAGGTGCTCCTTGATCTCACTATGAGTGGTCTCAATAAGGTCGATGGTGAGCTCGGTAGGGTGCCTACCAAGGAGAGTAGCGCGTTTAGATGAGAGGCGGTCAGGGAGACACGTCACAATGAACTAGAGGGTGATGTGGATAGGGGGAGGGTGGGTCTCAAGCTG